AGTCTTAAAAAAACCCCATACTTTCGGGGCACCTGGGTGGCTCAGTCGTTAAGCATCTGCCTTCGGCGCAGGTCATGATCTCAGGGTCCTGGGATCGAGCCCCACGTCAGGCTCCCTGCTCAGCAGGAAGCTTGCTTCTCCCTCTCCCACCCCCCCTGCTTGTGTTCCCTCTCTCGCTGTGTGTTTCTCTGTCAAATAAGTAAAATCTTTAAAAAAAACAAAAAAAACAAAAAAACCCCCATACTTTCTTAAAAATAACAAAAGGAAACATGTAACATGTTGTTTACATGTTAAGGTAAATAATTTCTATGAAGAATGACTATTTTCTAAAACAACCACCTCAGGAAAGTGGCAGTGCTCTGCATCGCTCTGTCTCTTCCACGTGTGGCTTCTGACTGAAGGGATGTGTTGTTTGGTTGCAGTACATGGAGACGATCGGGCCTCACATAGACACGTGTATTTTGAGCCTTTTAGGTAATTCCGGATGTCTTGCTTGGCGCCAGAACCTGACAGGGCAAAGCAGCACCGATGGCCTTCCTTCCCTGTGAGGGTCAAGCCCACGCCTGCCTTGCACCCTAACGCACCTTCTGCCATGTGTGGTGTTAAAGGTTAGGTACTGCTCATTTGGGAAAGACGGGCTCACTAAGTTAGGGAGGTCTTCCAAATGTTGGCACGTTTCATTATCCAATATCAAAAGACCATATTCTTTTTTTTTTTTTTTTTATTAAGATTTTTTATTTATTTGCGAGAGAGACAATGAGAGACAGCATGAGAGGGGGGAGGGTCAGAGGGAGAAGCAGACTCCCTGCCAAGCAGGGAGCCCGACGCGGGACTCGATCCCGGGACTCCAGGATCATGACCTGAGCCGGAGGCAGTCGCTTAACCGACTGAGCCACCCAGGCGCCCCTGACCATATTCTCTTAATAACATTTCCTCTGTCATCAAAAGTATATTTAGGTGTTGGGCAGCTGTCAAGCTCATGGGGGCAGACACACATTTACCAAAATTCTCATTTCCACTCAGAAGCCAGAATTTTACATGGGCAGCACATCCCGTTGGTTTTCTTTGAGGTCACGGGCTCACTGTGTTTATTTTGAGAAAACGTTTGGCAGGTGCCCAGTCTGTGTAGCTGTAGATCTTGCCAGTTCTTCCAAATGCAGGTGCCCAGTGAGTGACACAGCCCCCAGCCGCTGCCCTGGGCCTTTCCTGAGCGGTCAGCAGCCCTGGATTGCTGCTTGCTTGCCTTTCTGCCGCCGCCTTTATGAGAAGGCCTATGGGGAGATGGCTCATCTCACTGCTTCACCAAGGGCATTCTCAGGTGAAGTTGGCTTTACCTCCCTGAGTGCGTAGCATCGAAGAATTCAGTCACTTAGAAGTTTCATTTGGTGGCACCGTCTCGACTCCTGCTAAGGTGCCCAAGGAAGCACAGTGGAACAGGCAGGTGGGGTCCTAGTAATGAAGATAGCTTTGACCTCGTGGACCCGTGGAAGGGTCTTGGGACCCCAGAGAACTATTTGAGAGTGGGTGCAAGCTAGAGGTGGTTGGGATGCAGCTGTGATGGGCTGGGAGATGGGGCAAGGCCTGAGCACTCTGGGCCTGGCCCTGAATTGACTGTGGGAGGTCAGGCGGGCGCGGGGGTTAGATGTTGTGGCCCTCTGCCCACCTTGCTGAGATGTATGGCCAAGACCAGACCCTGGGTCAAGTCAGGTGCTGCTGATAAGCTTAGAGGGCAGGCAGATATGGGGGCAGGTGAGGCAGGCCAGGGCAGGAGAGGGTTTTTCCGGGTCCACGTGCAGGGGTATCAAAGGCTTAGCTCCGTGGGGAGTCCAAGAGCCCACCCTTGGGCTCTGCCAGTGTGGCCACAGCTTCTCGTTTCTCCACACTCTGTAAACCCAGATTCTTTGTAAACTCTCCTACTTTTAATTTTTTTTTTAAGATTTATTTATTTCGGAGAGAGAATGCACGCGGGGGGAGGGGAAGCAGACTCCCTGCTGAGCGCGGAGCCAGCCCAGCTCCATCTCCTGACCCCAGGGCTCAGTTTCTGGACCTGGAGATCATGACCTGAACCGAAACCAAGAGCTGGATGCTCAACCAGCTGAGCCACCAGGCGCCCCTAAACTCTCTTACTTTTAAACGTTGATAGTCGATTAAAGATGGAAACTTGTGTAGGGAAGCTCTGTGAAGCTGTCTCAGTAGTGGTTCCTTGGTGACCTCAGATCTGCATCCACCCAGCAGCCAGGCTGTGTTTTTGCCAGCCCAGGTGTAGCCATCTGGAGCTGGAGATGGACAAAAAGCTTCTACTCAGCTGGTGGGGAAATCTCAGGGCTGGAGATACGACGGTGGACAACTGTGCGATTCGGCACCTGGTGCTCTAGGAGTCTTGAGAGTCTTGGATTTTCCTCGCTCCCCCCTGGACCTGGTCCCGTCTTCCAGGAGCCTCAGTTCTCTTGGTGGGGAATGGTAAAGAGGAACCCACGTCTGTGCATGGTGTGCTGGTTGCTGCTGGGACAGGAGGGGGTCCGCCTTTGAAAGGGGATTCACTTTGACAACCACCAGAGCTTCAGCTGTGCATGCTGGGGTCAGCTTCCTTCCTCCCTACCATGTTCCTAGATCTAAAGCCAGTATCCCCACCCTCATCCTGCTGTTAGACTCAGGCCACCCACCCACCCACCTTGCACTGTCAGGATTTCCATAGCCTCCACCCCGAGCTGGAGAGTGGCAGGACTTGAAGTCTGTGCAGAAGTTCTGCTTGGTTCTGCTGTTGCCAGTACAGGATTTTGTTACTGGTTTGGGCTTCGTATTCCATCTTCAACCCTCTCTTGGTTGGTGTTGATTTTGTAGGTTTTTAGCCCTTTTGAAATGGTGATGAAGACCACGTTCCTTCTTGCTAGTACACATAGGCTCAGTGCACTGAATTTGTGAGGGTTCTCTTCTTTCCGCTCTGGTCGTGGACTGAGCTCACGTGGGCTCAGCCTCTGGGCCTTTGGACTTGTAGATGTGCACACTAGCAGTACCCTGCTCTGCTCTCACTCATCCTCCTTCATTCAGGCAGCAAATCCCGGCTGTGCATCTCGGCTGTTGCAGAGAATCCACCCAGGCGTATAGCCGTGCGGGAAACAGACATGGAAGTGGACCCAGTGGCCTTTCTTACTGGGTCCTCTTAGAAAGGCCCCAGTGAGGGGCGCCTGGGTGGCTCAGTCGTTAAGCGTCTGCCTTCGGCTCAGGTCCTGATCACAGGGTCCTGGGATCGAGCCCCGCGTCGGGCTCCCTGCTTGGCGGGAAGCCTGCTTCTCCCTCTCCCACTCCCCCTGCTTGTGTTCCCTCTCTCGCTGTGTCTCTCTCTCTCAAATAAATAAATCAAATCTTAAAAAAAAAAAAAAAAAGGAAAGGCCCCAGTGATTGTTACCACATGCTCATCGGTTCCTTCTGCATGCCGCTCATTGCCGACACATTGGGCTATGTCAGAGAACAGGACAGGCCTCTCCTGTGGAACCCAGAGTTTGCGTGTTGGTGGGGCGGACAGACAGGCTGGGTGGTGTGTCTGATGGTTGGGGGCACCAAGGGGGCAACAAGGCAGGGTCCAGGAGAGGCTGTCTGATAAGGTGATTGGCCTGTTGAGAGGCTGTAGGGTGCAGGGGCTGGAGGCTGGGGTCAAAGTGTGGAAGGGGGAGCAGAGGCTGGGCTCTGTGGCTTTCTGCCGACAGTGAACACTTGTTTCTCCTTGGTGAGCTGGGAAGACCCTGGGGTTTGAGGAGGGACACATCCAAGTCTGATGCCTGCAAGGAAGTATTCCCCATCTTCTGGGAGGAAGTCTCTGAGCCCCTGGATTTTTCCTTGGTGCCTGGCACTGTGAATTCTGGCTTCCTGTGGCAGGAGTGGCTAAGAGAGGGCTTACAGTAAGAAGGGGGTCCGCCTTTGAAAGGGGATTCACTTTGACAACCACCAGTGGGGCCACACGTGATGCTCTAGGGAAAGGTGGGAGGGCCGCAGGAGGAGCTGGGCCATGCTCGTGCCCTCTCTTGTCCTGTGTACCTGGGGAGATGAAGTCAGGTCCGTTTAGGAGCTGCAGGTGGGAGCATTCTGGAAGCACTGAGGAAGGAGGGGCTTCATGGGACCGGAGGCTGCTCTGCGACCTTGAGGTGGCTTGGTGGTCCAGGGCGACAGGGTAGGGCACTGTCACTGCTCTTGGACCCCACACTTGGCGTCAGTGAAATCAGCAGGGAGATGATTCTGTAGGTTCTGTAGGAATGTTCTGGGAACGTGTTGTGGTGTCTTTTGGAGAATGCATTCGAGATGTTAGACAGGCGTTATGGGAGTTGTGCCCTTAGATTCTGAAACTCTTAAGTGGGGAGCCTGGAGGGTCTGTGTCTCCCCCCTTTTCCTTCTCCATGGACTCATGGTGATGGCTGCCGCTGCCCCTGGAGGGACCCAGTCAGGAATGTTTTGTGTGTTTACATTCACTTCTCCAGCCAGACTCTAAGCCTCCAAAAGGCAAGAAGCTTTAAAAAGCGATCCAAGAGACCTTTCGTAATTCATGCCTCCATGTAGTAGAGCAAATATTTAATGATTCACGTTTTTATTGAATTTTCTTGGTTTATCCCTTTTTGCAATTTTTTGTAGGTTGTTAGACATTTGAAATACTTAGATGAATTCTTGTCAGCAGCAGAATGCACTTTGATATAATTTGTAGCATTCCTATAACAACCAAAACATTTGAGATTTCTAATTATGTAAGTAATGCATGAATACATTCTTATTATTAAAAAACTATCTCCAAAAATACAGGTAAGATAGAAGTTTTCTCAGGCTGGTTTCTGAATGTCATTCCTCCTCCTGGAGGTGACTGTTATCTGCCGGCTTGAATATCCCCTAGCTGTCCATTCATCTGATAGTGAGTTTTTATCTGGATCCAGATACAACGTCCATCTAGAGAAATCATGGTGGAGAATTGCTTAGTCTGCCTGCCGGTGAATGGAGGCTGATGGCTGTTTCTTCTCTAGCAGGCAGTTCCGGCGAAGGGGGAGACGAAGCAGGATTGCTGCGTGAAAACAGAGCTGCTGAGGGAAGGTAAGGGTGCAGTTTGCTCCTGCAGGAGAAGTGGCCAGAAGACCTGTCGCTCCGGCATCTCCTCACCCGTCCCCGGCTCCTGACTTGTTTGCTCTCACCTGGGTTGCTGTATGGCTTCCCGCCTCCCATTCCCAGATGGACACAATGGCACACACGTAAGATCTGCTAGAGAAGGGAACCTTCACCAAAAAGTGAAAAGCAAACATCTGGTAGATCCTTGTCTTAAGTGCACCCAGAAAACTCAGAGTGAGAAGGGCCACGTGGGTGTTTATGGCAGCTTTGTTCTTTTTTTTTTTTTTTTTAATATTTTATTAATTTATTTGACAGAGAGAGACACAGCGAGAGAGGGAATACAAGCAGGAGGAGTGGGAGAGGGAGAAGCAGGCTTCCCGCTGAGCAGGGAGCCCGATGCGGGGCTCAGTCCCAGGACACTGGGATCATGACCCGAGCCGAAGGCAGACGCTTAACGACTGAGCCACCCAGGCGCCCCAGTGGCAGCTTTGTTCTTATCACTCAAAGCTGAAGCCACGACCTGTGGTGCATACGGTGGGCGGGTCTCAGCAGGCCAGGAGGAGGAACAGCTTCATTCTCACAGCAACACAGGTGATACTGAGCCTGTTTTGCTAAGTGAAGGGGGCTGGACCCGTAGGCCATGTGCTTTGTGACTCCCTTTGTATGACATTTTGGACAAGGTAAAACCAGAGGCTGGGAAAACAGCCTATTTGCCAGGAGGTGCAGGGAGGCTGGAGAGGGCAAGCCCTGTGAGGAGCTGTGGTGGGAGGCACTCTGCTCTGTTGGTTAGGGCTGTGGAGCACACCGTGACAGGTGAGTCCCACTGTGTCACACAAGCCACGTGGGGGCTGCTGAGAAGTTCATTCTGGAGAGCCGCGTCGTGACTGGACCCCAGGAGGCTGATGGCTCGGGACTGGTGCAGACACTGGGTTTCGCTTGGCTGTGTCTGTCGGGGGAGATGGGCGAGCAGCCCTGCACTGCCGCGTGGTCGCTGGAGCTGAGCAGATGAGCAACATATCATCCCGTCATCCTCCCAGCTGCCCATAAGGTTAGCGCAGGAGGAACCTGCCCGAGATCATGGCACTGTCCTCCTCACTGACACTGGGCGCTGCTACAAGCACTTTGGGTGTTCTGGCTGCATGCCAGCCCAATGATGTGTGGTTCTGTCTCTCTTCTAAGGAGGGGGAGCTGAGACAGGGTGCACTGCTGGGTTCAGGTCACCCAGGCTGTCCGACTGGCAGCTAGGCCCCTGCTCGCGTGCAGGTAGCGCTGGCCGTGGCCACTGAGACCACCACGTGCACGTCAGCAAGCGAGATGAGGACTGTGCTCTGATGGGCAGAGAGCTGGGCCCGTCTCACCAGGCCCTGCAGGTCGGCCCTGTGTGTCTTGTGGGTGTCAGCCTCTGAGTGCCCTGGATGCAACCCTGCACGGCCTGGTGGAAGGGTGGCCTTCTGAGGGCCGCCTTGCAGTCCATGCTGGTGGCTGCTCGTCTGTGCCTGTCCTGAGCCGTAGCGGGGCCACCCAGCATGCATTGCTGCAGCCCTGTCTGCTTCCCAGGCGGTCCAGGAGCTGCTCTGATACCTTTTCACACCCACATAGCCACCTTCTCCCGTGACCACCATGTACACATCCAGGGGCCACTGTGGGTGAAGGTGGAACCGGGCACCCCAGCGGTCCAGGCCGTAGGGCAGGGCTGTCCTTGTAAGTGCATGACTTGTGCATAAACACATGTTTGTAATAGAAATGCTTCCGATTCTAGTAGAATTCTGGGGACTCTGGGAGCAGGCTGGGTCTAGAGACTGGGCAGTGCCTGCTTTGCTTCCTAGGACTATTTCTAATGCCTCCTCTCTCCCTGTTGAGAATCCTGCTCTCTGGAGGGACCCCAGCTCAGGTCTGACCCAGCCAGGCACTTTCCTGGTGGACTGCAGGGCCTCTGGGTACTTCATCCAGCCTGCCAGCTCCCTTGTACTATGCCCCCTGGCCAGCTGTGGGACTTGCCACGTCCCAGAGCTGCCCCCACGCTGGTCTACCCACACCTTTGCTCTTGGGAAGAAGACCTGCCTCAGGGTTTCTTTCTGGTGCTGTGCTTCCCTCCACTGCTTGAGGGATTCTCTTCCATGGGCAGCCATGGTCTCCAGCTCTTCTTCCTTCCCCGCCTCCTCCCTGCCGGCCCCCCCCCCGGGCCTTTCCTAATAGAAGTTGTGGATAAATAATGCCAGGTGCCCATTTTCCTCTCTCCTACACTGCCCCTGAACCAAGGCCCTGACTCCTCCTTTTGAGGAACTGTTAGACTGCACAGTTTACACTCCCACCAGCAATGTGGGAGGGGTCCGTTGTCTCCACTTCCTGCCATACTTGTTACATCACCTGCCGTTTTCATGATGGCCGTCCTGGTGGGTACAAAGTGGTATCCCGTTGTGGTTTTTTTTTTTTATTCTTATGTTAATCTCCATACATTACATCATTAGTCCTAGATGAAGTGTTCCATGATTCATTGTTTGTGCATAACACCCAGTGCTCCATGCAGAACGTGCCCTCCTCAGTACCCACCACCAGGCCAACCCCTCCTCCCACCCCCCTCCCCTCTAGAACCCCCGTTGCGGTTTTGATGTGCATTTTCCAGACGATTACTGATGCTGAACATCTTCTCATGTGCATATTAGCCCTTTGTATCTTTCTGGAGACGTGTCAGTTTGGATCCTTGGCCTGTTTTTTAAATTGGTTATTGATTTTTATTGTTGAATTGTCAGAGTTCTTGATGTGTTCTAGATACACGTTCCTTATCAGATAGTGGCTTGCAGATGTTTTCTCCCATTCTGTGGCTTGTCTTTTCACTTACTTGACAGCATCCTTTGAAGCACAGACGTTTCTGGTTTTTTTAAGATTTATTTGGGAGAGGGAGCGCGTGCTTACGTGCACGAGCCGGGGGAGGGGCAGAGGCAGAGGGAGAAGCAGACTCCCCGCCGAGCAGGGAGCCCGACGCGGGGCTCGATCCCAGGACCCCCCAAGATCATGACCTGAGCCGAAGGCAGACGCTTCACCGACTGAGCCCCCCAGGCGCCCTGTATGTTTAGGCTTGTAAGAAACTGCCAAACTGTTTTCCGAAGCCATGGCACCATTTGACATCACCGCCATTGTGTATGGCCGTGACATCCTGTCCTCGTCCAAGTTTTTTATTTTTTATTTTTTTAAAGGTATTTATTGAGAGAGAGAGAATGATAGAGAGCGTGAGAGGGAGGAGGGTCGGAGGGAGAAGCAGACTCCCCGCCGAGCAGGGAGCCCGATGCGGGACTCGATCCCAGGACTCCAGGATCATGCCCTGAGCCGAAGGCAGTCGCTTAACCAACTGAGCCACCCAGGTGCCCCCGAGTTTTTAATTACACCCATCAATGGGTGTCATGTGGGATCTCTGTGCTGGTTAGATTTGCTGTTTAAATTTTGAGGAGTTTTTAATCTTGATGAAGTCCAATTTATCACTTTTCCTTTTAGGGATTGTGCTTTGGTGTCAAGGATAATATGCCTTGCCTAGCCCTAGATCTTGAAGATTTTTTCGTTTTTTTTTTTTTTTTCTCGAAGTTTCATAGTTTTACATTTTACATTTATGTTTTTTCTCTATTTTGAGTTGATTTTTATAGGTTCATTTCTATAATCAATCTTTCAAAACTCAGTTATTGGTTCCCGTAGTTTGTAGATTACTTTGGATTTTCTACCCAGGATCACATCAGTTACAAATAAATTTTGCTGCTTCTTTCTGACCTGAATGCCCTTTGTTACTTTTTCTTGCTTGCTTGATTGCTCTGGCCAGAACCTTCAGAATAATGGGTATCAGTAGCAATGGTAGACAGCCACCGTTCGGGCCTCTGAGAGGAAGAGTACCGTTCCCTTCTTTACCCAGCCTCTCACAGCAAGCTGACCCCACGTGGTGGGCTTTCCCACGTCCGGCATGCCTCCGGCTCTCTGTGACACCTGCTGGGCAGCCTGCAAGTCAACTCAGTTTTGACCCCACAGGTTAGGGGCTTGGTCCCACCAGACTCTCCCCACTTCAGACGCCGGCCCCAAGTAGAGGGTCCCCAGGGTGCACACAACTTGCTGCACAAGGAACTGTCTATGAATTGGAGGTTCCCACAACCCCTTCCTCGAGTTCGTAGAACTCTGGGAAACATGTATGCGCTGTCACTGGTTTGTTATAAGGGCATGAGTCAGGAAGAGCCCAGTGGAAGTGATGCATAGGGCGGGGTGTGGGGGGGAAGGTCACGGAGCTTCTGTGCCCTCTCTGGGTGCACCATCCTCCCCACGTGGGTGTGTTCACCCACCTGGACGCTCTCTGAACCCCATAGTTTAGGGATTTCTGTGGCGGCGTCATCACGTAGGCGTGATGGATTATTAATTCAGTCTGCAGCCCCTCTCCCCTCTCTGGAGGCTGGGGGTAGGGCTGAAAGTGCCAAGCTTCTGACTGTGGCTTCGTCTTTTCTGGTGACCATCCAGAGTCACCTCAGGAGCTGTCAGGAGCCACGGGCAGAGACCAGATATCTGTATCTTGTTACATCACACTATGTAATCACATTTATCTTTCCTTGTTTCTGTTACAACTTATGCTTTTGATGTGTAACAAAATTTCCCTGTTTCTAGGCCACAGATCTGTTTTCTACATTTTTCCTTGTTAACTTTTGAGTTTTTCAGACTACCTAGGACAAGTATTTCCCAGACTCAGATGTGTGGATTAGCCTCCAGAGGTCTCGGTGAGGCCCAGATGTGTGGAACCCAGCTTCAGAGATTCAGAACCAGTAGGTCCAGGCGTGGCCTGGGAAATCTGCCTTCTAGCCAGCAGTCCGTGCCCTGCTGCCTTGGGCTGCTGTCCTGGACCCCGCTGTGCCTACTGGACACCCCAGCCCCCTTGTGGTGGTGCTGTGGGGAGGCCTGTTGCATCCTTCTCTGATTCAGGGATTCTGTCTTCCTGTGCCTTTATTCTTCTTTTCCATGATTTGCTTTGCTGTTTGGGAAAATCTGTCCCTCTACGTTTTAGAACAAAGTGGTGGAGTTTCTCATAGACTGATGGAATTTTGATTGGGTATCACTGAACTTACGGATTAAATTAGAGGCAGCTTGACACTTCATACTTTTGTCATCCCGTTTAAGACCATGTTTTCATTTAAAATCTTTTTCTCCACAGAGGCCTTGAGTAATCTTGTCTAAAATTTTGTATTCTTTATAGTTTTCCCTCTTTTGCAAATAGTATTTTTTCCCCTCTCATATTTTCAAGTTAATGCCAGTGCAGGAAAATGCCCTTGAGTTTTGTAGCTTGAGTTTGAAGTCAGCAGTCTCCCTGTATTCTTATGTTTTAATTGCTGATTGATTGCATTTTTAAAGTAAATGATGGTTTTGGTGCAGAGGCCAGAGTTCTTCCCTTTGTCTCCAGTGCCTCTCATTTCTGTGTTCCCTCTTGTGCCAGCCGGTGCATCTGTTTTTGTGTGAGATGTTTGGGGCATTTCTGATCTCACATTGAATTCTCTTTCTTTCTTTTCTAAGATTTTATTTATATATTTATTTGAGAGAGAGAGAGAGCGAGCGTGCGCGCGGGAGAGTGAGTGTATGCATCTGCATGCGAGCAGGGGGAGGGGCTGAGGGAGAGAGAGAAACTTAAGCAGACTCCACACTGAGCGATCCCAGGACCCTGAGATCATGACCTGAGCCAAAACCAAGAGTCAGACACTGTAACCCACTGAACCGTCCAGGTGCCCTGAAATTCACTTATTTCTGAATAAGCGTATGTTTCCTGCAGATCGTGGTGTGTGGTCTTTGCCAACTCCATCCAAGTAAGGACCTGCCTATTCTGTCTTGCTGAGGGTTTTTTTAAAAATCCTTAATTAATAACTGTGTTCATTTAGAAAGTATTTGCTGCACTCGTACTATGTCCCAGGCCCTGTTTCTGTCTCGGGGCACATAGTGGACAAACAGACGAAACTCTGTCCTTGCAGACCTCACACTCTAGGGCAGAGGAACAGATGGTTAATATCATAATGATGGGGTCTCCTGTGGGAGCCAGTAGAGTAAAGGGACTGGGACGGGTGGAGTCTTGAAGTTGACTGAAGCTCTTTCTGCATCCAGTGGTGTAATCATGGGTTTTCTGCTTTAATCTCTCAGTGAGGTTAGATTATTTGTAGATCTTCTGATATAAAATACATTTATTTATGACTGGTTTTGGAAAAGGTCTGTCAAGTTGTCCTCAGAGACCGAGCTTTTATAGAGAATAGGCTTGTAGTCAGGTATTTGTAATGGGCCTTCTGGCTGATGTACTGAAAATATGACCCTCTTTCTTGGTTTATTACCCATTTTTTTTACGTTTGTTCTTGTGAGGGTACTTCTGAGGCCTTGCTTCTCTGTCTTTAAACCATGCTCAGTTTTATTTTACGGTGGTGTTTGTGCCTGGTGGATGTGCAAATCTGTGTAATGGGTTTTGAGATCTTGCTATCTTTTTTTTAAAGATTTTATTTATTTATTTATTTATTCATGAGAGACAGAGAGAGAGAGAGAGAGAGGCAGAGGGAGAAGCAGGCTTCCCGCGGAGCAGGGAGCCCGATGCGGGACTCGATCCCAGGACCCTGGGATCATGACCTGAGCCAGAGGCAGACGCTTAACCATCTGAGCCACCCAGGTGCCCAAGATCTTGCTATCTTTTAAGAATTAATGTACTCAGCAAATGGGGAGTCTATCTTGTGCTTCTGGTTTTAGACTGTGTCCCCCACGGTAGGACTACAGGCCCTGGCTGGACCTCGCACACAGGATGGAAGGGTAGCTGGCACACCAAGCTCCGGGCGGATTGCCCTGTTCAGGGTTTGGCCTTCTCCAAACTTTAACAATTGATTTTCAAAGTTAGTGACTAAGACATCATTTCATTATTACTTTTCTTTAGATTTTAATTTTTTTTTTAAGATTTTATTTATTTATTTGAGAGAGAGGGCACATGAGAGGGGGAAGGGTCAGAGGGAGAAGCAGACTCCCTGCCGAGCAGGGAGCCCGATGCGGGACTTGATCCCGGGACTCCAGGATCATGACCTGAGCTGAAGGCAGTCGCTTAACCAACTGAGCCACCCAGGCGCCCCTTTAATTATTATTTTTAAGTAAGCTCTGCACCCAACATGGGGCTTGAACTCACAACCCTGAGATCAAGAGTTGCATGCTTTTCTGACTGAGCCAGCCAGACGCCCCTAAGACATCATTTTATATATAGTCTATTTGAACTTAAATCTTTGTACATGAAATGAGATGATTTTTCCTTGGATAGTTTTATGTAAACCACTCAAGGAATGGTAACTGTGTGTGGGTCTCCTCTGTTCACAGAGCTCTCTATGGCAGCCGATGGAGGCTCAGCAGAGAAGCAGGGCGGAGAGGCCCCTGTGGCCGCAGACAGCGAAGCCAACGGGTCCTGTGGAAAGAGCGAGGCTAGTGGTCACGTGACTGCAGCACCGCAGACTCAGGAGAACACGGTGGTCAGCCCACAGGAAGGGACCAACAGACTAGCTCGGATAGCTGAAAATGGGGTTTCAGAAAGAGACAGTGAAACGGGGAAGCAAAACCACATCAACACAGATGACTTCACACAGACTTCTGTCATCGGGAGCAATGGGTACTTCTTGAATAAACCACCCCTGCAGGAGCAGCCCATGCGGATTACCAGCACTTTGGCTTCCTCGCTTCCTGGTCATGCTGCGAAAACCCTTCCCGGAGGTTCTGGCAAAGGGAGGACTCCCAGTGCTTTTTCTCAGACGCCAGCCACAGCGCCGGCCAAGCTCGGGGAAGCAAGTAAAGACGCAGAGGACAAGAAGCCCACGGCCCCTGGTGCCGACGTCAAGGTTCACAGGGCACGGAAGACCATGCCAAAATCCATCCTGGGCCTGGTAATGCGATCCCTGTCGGGATGGGGTTGCTCTCGTGTCTGTCGTGTTGTTTCCTTCCTGTCTGTGTTCTCTTCTGTCACAGTGACGGCAGATGGACTCCGTGCGTGACGGAGAAAGGCCAGTAAATGGCAGTAAATGGCAGAGACAACAGGTGGTTGTCTCTGGGCCTGGGAAGGTTAGGAGAGGCTGCTGACAGTTCAGGCATGAACGATGAGCAGACGACCCCTCTCAGCCCACTTCTGGGCTTTGTGCTGCTTCTGGGTGCCTGTTGCCCACTAAGACAAGATGCATCACGTGCTTGCACAGAGACCTCTCCTCTTCTGCTTTGGGCCTGGGGGCTTTCATTGCAGTTCGGGGAGACTGAGCGCCGATTCTATCAGGAAATAAGTAGCCATGAAGTTGGTTAGGTTCTTGATGTGACAGAAGGAGGGGACAAGGGCACACTGAAGACATGCCCATGCCTCTGCTTTCATGCCAGGCTCCTGGGCGCAGGGAACAGGCAGCGAGAACCCAGCATCGTGCTGGGTGAGGCAGCTTTTGCCATCGGCGGGCATTCTGTGCCTGTGCCTGGTGCGTTTTCTCAGAATGTCCGCAGTCATGTTTGTTTTTTTAAAGATTTTATTTGTGTATTTGTCAGAGAGAGAGAGCGCACGAGCAGGGGGAGCGGCAGGCAGAGGGAGAAGCAGGCTCCCCGCCGAGCAGGGAGCCCGACGCGGGGCTCGATCCCAGGACCCTGAGATCATGACCTGAGCCGAAGGCAGATGCTTAACCCACTGAGCCACCCAAGCGTCCCCACAGTCGTGTTTTTCCCTCCCAGTTCTATGTTGATCTGGCTGGGGATGAGTTCTAGTCTTTAGGTGTGTTCCCTTGGGATTTCTTGTACCTGGCATTCCTGGTGAGCGTACTCAAGCTAGTCTGACTGTGTGGCGTTTCCTCTCTGCAACCTTCCAGGGCTGCACGAACAGGCCTGTGCCCACGGGCCCTGTCAGTCTGAGATGTAGGTCTTTCCTCAGTTCTAGAAAAATGCTTTGTGCAGTTTTTCTTTCTGTGGAGCTCTTGACATGCTTTGATTTCTTCTTTAGCGCTTTACATTCTTGCTATTCATTCTATATATATATATATTTTTTTTTTTTTTAAAGATTTTATTTATTTATTTGAGACAGAGAGAATGAGAGAGCCAGAGAGCACATGAGAGGGGGAAGGGTCAGAGGGAGAAGCAGGCTCCCCAAGGAGCAGGGAGCCCGACGCGGGACTCGATCCTGGGACTCCAGGATCATGACCTGAGCCGAAGGCAGTCGCCTAACCAACTGAGCCACCCAGGCGCCCTATTCATTCTGTATATTGGTGATTCCAGTATCTCTAATTAGCTTATTTAGTTACATTTTGTCTTACCCTTCAAAAGACGTTAGTGACAATTCTTTTATTGTCTCTGCTGTGACTCCTGCTTCCTCAGGTGAGAGTTTGTGTTGATGTTTCTCCCCAGAGGTGTGCTCGCCTTTCTTTCTGTGGTTTTGATTGCCTGACTGTGAGTTCCACCGCATTTCCCGTAGCTGCCGGCAGTGATTGTGGGGACCAAGGGTGCACCGTGGGGCTGCACTCCTGACCGCCCCACGGTGCTGGGCCCCTGGAGCTGCCGTGGGATCCCTATTTTAGGATAGCCAGGGCTCGGCAGCCCGACTCCCGTGTCTCACTGTGTGGGCCTCACCCCTCCTGGTCTGCCTGGCCCTAACTTGGTTTCCACCGTTTGCGGTATTCTTGTGTATGTTGCACAACTTGAAAAAACTTTCTTAATAATTAGGAATTCACAGGACGCTGCACAAATAGTATAGAGAGACCCCATGTACCCTTCACCCGGTCTCCCCCAGGGTAACATTTTACACAGCTAGATAGAGCACAGTGTAGATTTCTGTGAACACCAGCACTGAACAGCTCCCAGTGCCTCCCTCCATCCCCACCCACCCTGTCCCCAGTGTCCCCAAGCCCTGTTCTCCCATCTCCACAGCCGGGTCCCGTCAGGTGTTCTGTAAGAAGGTGGGGCCTTTGAGAGCAACTCTGTTCCTGTGAGACCGACCACATTGTGTCAGTGGCTCCTTTCCTTTTCATGCTGAGGGCTTTTCTGTGGTGTGTATGTCCCAGAACTTAACTGCTCACAGGTTCAAGGGCATTTGGGCGTTTTCCAGTTTGGGGCTGTTACATTAAAGTTGCTCTGGACATTTATGTACAGATTTTTCTTTTCTTTTTTTTTTTTTTAAAGATTTTATTTATTATTTATTTGACAGAGAGAGACACAGAGAGAGAGGCAACACAAGCAGGAGGAGTGGGAGAGGGAGAAGCAGGCTTCCCGCCGAGCAGGGAGCCCGATGCGGGGCTCGATCCCAGGACCCTGGGATCATGACCCGAGCTGAAGGCAGACGCTTAACGACTGAGCCACCCAGGCGCCCCTCTTTTTTTTTTTTTTTTTAAGATTTTATTTATTTATTTGAAGAGAGAGACACAGCGAGAGAGGGAACACAAGCAGGGGGAGCGGGGGAGGGAGAAGCAGGCTTCCTGCGGAGCAGAGAGCCTGATGTGGGGCTCGATCCCAGGACCCTGGGATCATGACCTGAGCCGAAGGCAGACGCTTCACCGACTGAGCCCCCCAGGCGCCCCTTGTCTTTGCTCAGATTTTTCTTTAGACAGAAATTTTCATTTCCCTGGGTTAAATATCCAGGAATATAATTGCGGGTCGTATGTTAATTGGATATTTAGCTTTGTAAGTGACTGCCAAACCAGATGCCCCACGTTTCACATTCCCAGAAGCAGGATATGAGCAGTTTGGTTCCTCACATCGTTGCTGGCGTTTGGCATCGCTGCTAGTTTTTATTTAGCTGTGACACCTCGTCATGGTTTTAATTTGAATGCTCCTAATGGCCGGCGATGCCGAACATCTTTTCTCGTGCGCTTTTGCCGTCTGTATGTCCTTTTTCGTGAAGTGTCTTTCATACCTCTTGCCCATTTCACAGCTAATTGTTTTGTGAGCTTTCAGAGTTCTGGGTATGAGCCCTTCACCATGGACCCGTTTGCAGACTTTTCTCGGCCGGTGACTTGTCCTCACCCTCCCGGGAGGGTCTTTCCTAGAGGACAGGTATCTCATTCTGACCAAGTCCACGTCGTCAGTGTTTCTTTCTTTTATGGCTTGTGCTTTTGGCATCATGTCTGTAAACTCCCCACCTAGCCCTGGGTCCCAAGATTTTTCTGTAATTTTTAAGGAAGTTTTTAAATTTTTATAGTTTTGTATTTTTATAAATATATGGTCTATTTTGAGTTAGTTTTTGTATTAGACATCAGGTTTAGAGTAACATTCATTATTTTTGCCTGCCATTTTTTGGGTTACCATCATCAATTTTAAAATGGAAGTCAGAAACTTTACGTTATTTATCTGTCTCCTTGAAATTATACTTTTATTCTGTTCTCATTTCCAGGATTTTATTCTAATACATGTTTATTCTTGGGCATCTTTTTTTGTCACTCTGTCATATTCCTCTGAGGAAAAAAAGGCAACTTGAAATTTAACTTCAAGAAATTTCTCTGACTGTATAGGCTTATCTAAGTGTTAGCTGTGTGCTGAGTTAGTATAATTGTTAATGATGTGCAGTTGATCGTCACACATACCATTTGAGTCAGCTGTAGGGACAGAGGACAGGCGGGTGCTGAGACTTCAGAAGTGGATTTCCTAAAGACACACCTGGGAACTTCATCTGCCCCTGGGGCCCCATGGGAGGACGGAGGGCACAGTGATGTAGTGACAAGTCCAGGCAAGTCAAGGCAGTGGTGTTCCCAAGGGCCCCTCTGATATGGAGCCCCTGGCTCCAGACCTGGCCTCTCCTGCCCTTGGAGTTCCCTGCTCCCCGAACCCAGTTCAGTCTCGTTTGGTTTTCTTGGGAGACCTTGTTTTATTGAAAATGGTGTTTTAAAATCAGTCATTCCAGTGATGAGTGTTGCAGGCTTGTGATAATAAAACCATTTTGTTGGTAAGAGTTTAAAAATGAAGGCATGTTCTTGCTGCATGGCTGATGTCCCTTGGCAGTGTGGAGGCTCCTTCTCACCCAGTGTTGGTCCTGTCAGAAAAGCACCAGCACAGGGTGCAACTCATTCACTGTTTGGGCAGAGAAAGCAGAAGCTTCTGGAAGGGAGCCTTTTTCCCTTGCATTGAAATGTTTGTTACTGTGTTGCAGACTGTCTCCCTAGTTGAATTGTGCAACCTTTGGGCCTCAGCATGGTGGCCCTCCTGCCTTCTCCCTTTTCTTTTTCTCTTTTTTTAAAGATTTTATTTATTTATTTGACACAGAGAGCGAGAGCGAGAGAGGGAACACAAGCAGGGGGCGTGGGAGAAGGAGAAGCAGGCTTCCTGCCGAGCAGGGAACCCGACTCGGGCCTTGATCCCAGGACCCTGGGATCATGACCTGAGCCGAAGGCAGACGCTTAACGGACTGAGCCACCCGGGCGCCCCTAGCCTTCTCCGTTTTCATCCCTGTCACCATTCTCCCAATCCGCTTTCACGCATAACCGCTGCCACTGGTATTCTCTAGGTTCTGGACAAAAGATGTGGCCTTGTTCTTGGAGCTCTCAGCCTGGTTAGAGAGGTAGTTTTGAATGCCGAAACTGTACAAGTCCTTGTTCGTTGCCACTGGAATTAAGCATCTGGAAGGAGAAGTAGGCTGGGCTAAGAGTGTTCACACTGAGCCGACAGGGGTCTGGCTGGTGGCTCCGGGACTGGCCGCCTGGCGGAAGGGCAGAGCCGATGCACAGAACACTGGCAGGGTGGGGTGGGGTGGTGGGTAGGGCCAGCAAGGGCCAGACCCTGTAGACCTCCGGCACCTGGGCCAGAGCAGTTTGTGGCCACCTCCCTCTGTGTGGGGGGCTGGGGCTGGCTGGGTGCTCAGGGCTCCATCACAGCAGTGGGTGCCCCTCCATGCAGTCAGGTGCCGGCCTGCTGTCTCCGTGGGAAGTAGATGTGTCTTTCATCTTTTTTGCTGTTGTCAGAGTAGAGCCCTGACAGAGTCTAGCATCTTCACCCAAGTTCAGCAGCTCGTGATTTTTTTTTTTTTTCAGGTTTTCAGAAATAATCTCTGAAAGATTTTGTGTCTAAGTGAGAATTAGCCTCACATGACTGTTTCCTCCTCAGGTTTAATTTTTGCCCCTCATTTATGTATACTTTAAAATCATCTTTTGCATTTCTTGTAAGAAGAGATGGTGGAGGCTGAGAGTCATTGTGGCCACACAGTCAGTGGGGGTAGTTTGCAGGAGACAGAAAGGAACATTACCTGACTCCTTTGCTCCAGCAGTGACTTCTTTAGGGACAACCTGGTATGTTTGAGAGAGACTGAAGGATTTTACAGAGTTGACAAGTTACATGTGAACTGTGCTCTATGTGCCTAGGGCAGGTTAATTATGAAGGTGGTGGGGAAGACGGTGGTGTTGGGCGAAGAAGGAAGGGCACTCCAGGACTGGGCCACATTCCCTACCAAGCGACAGACAGGGTCACTGAGCTGAGTGTGAGTAAGTCCCCCAGGCTGTCGCCCCAAGAGCTGGAATCCAGGCCATCCTCCCAGGTAGGCTCGCTTTTAAGGGCAGGGATATCAGGGGCCTTTACACTGTTGTGCGGCCCTCCTCTCTCTCTGTCCCCAGAACTCGTTCGTCTTCCCAGGCTAGACTCTGTTCCATCAAACCCTGTTCCCAGCCCCCACCCCCGAGTCTGTGGGTCCGACTCCTCCGGCCTCCTGAGAGTTTCCACTCATACAGAATTGGTCTTTCTGTGCCGGGCTGATCTCGCTCAGTACCACATCCTCCAGCTTCATCCACGTTGTAGCAGGTGTCGCGACTCCTTCCTTTTCAAGGCTGAATAATGATCCATGGTGTGGACGGACCACGTCTTGTTTATCCATTCACCTGTCAGTAGACGCTGGGACTGCTTCCACCCCTTGGCTATTGTGAGGAGCGCTGCCGTGAACACGGGTGTGCAAATACCTCTTCAAGATCTGCTTTCAGTTCTTTTAGATATATATCCAGAAGTGGAATTGCTGGATCACGTGGTAATTCTATGTTTAGCTTTTTGAGAAACTGCCGAACTGTTTTCCACAGTGGCTGCACCATTTTACATTCCCACCAACAATGGTTCCAATTTCTCCGCATCCTTTTCAACATTTTGTTTTTAATTGGGTATAATTGACAGTTTTCTGGGGTTGTATTCTTTTGTTTTTTTTTTTTAATATTTTATTTATTTGGGAGAGAGAATGAGAGAGAGAGCGCGCGCACAAGAGGGGGGAGCGGGAGAGGGAGAAGCAGGCTTCCCGCTGAGCGGGGAGCCCAATGCGGGATTCGATCCCAGGACTATGACCTGAGCCGAAGGCAGTCGCTTAACCAGCTGAGCCACCCAGGCGCCCCTCTTTTGTTTTTAACAGTCGCTATCCTAATGGTGTGAGGTGATACCTCATTATGGTTTTGATTTGTATTTTCCTGATGATCAGTGATGTTGAGCATCTCTTCACGTGTGTAGTGTATGTCTTCTTTGGAGAAATGTGTGATCAGATGCTTCGCCCATTTTTTAATCAGGTTGTTTGTTTTGTTGTTGAGTTGTAGGAGTTCTTTATATATTCTGGATATGAATTCCTTATCAGGTATGTGATTTGCAAATATTTTCTCCCGATCTGTAGGTTGCCTTTTCATTCTATTGATTGTGTCCTTTGATGAACAGAAATTTTTAATTTTGATCAAGTCTGATTTATCGGTTTTTTGTTCTTGTTGCCTGTGCTCTTGGTGTCCTATCCGGAAATCATCGCCAAATTCAACGTCATGAAGCTTTGCTCCTCCTTCTTAGAGTTTTATAGTTTTATTTATTTATTTATTTATTTATTTATTTATTTATTTATTTATTTATTTATTTAAAAGATTTTATTTATTTATTCATGAGAGATAGAGAGGCAGAGGGAGAAGCAGGCTCCCCGCTGAGCCCGATTTGGGGCTCGATCCCGGGACCCTGGGATCATGACCTGAGCCGAAGGCAGACGCTCGACGACTGAGCCACCCAGGCGTCCCGAGTTTTATAGTTTTAGATCTTTGATCCATTCTGAGTTAGTATTTGTATGCAGCGTAAGGTAAGGGTCCAACTCCATTCTTTTGCATGTGGAGATACCCCTTTCCCAGCACCACTTACTGAAGGATGCCTGTTTCTTCACTGTTGATTGCCCCTACTGTGCGTATGATAAAACTTGGTTAAATGGAACTTGACATGAGATCCAACTGTCTCAGGGCTGTAGGTGATTTTAGGGAAGCCAGTGGAGGGGAGAGGGTTAGTTGTGTCTAGGCAGTCCAGAATGAAGGCAGCACCGCTAACAGGGATGAGGGTTTTAATGACCGTACCACAGGCAGCCAGGGTCTCGGAAGGCTGAGACTGAAGACCGATTTAGGAGAGCGGTAAGACCGTGAACAAAAGGTAACTTCAAAAGTGTAGTCTATTGTGGGGGCTGTTGCAGCGGTGAAAGCGATAGACTGTGAAAGCACCTTACTTAGTAACACATTGAGCTACGTCAGCGGTTCGCAGGCCAGTGGACATCATTTCGGGTTCATGTGCCGCCTTTGGTCACTGCCGCCGCCGCTTCCTTTTGCTCCCTGTCCCCGTCAGCGCCATCTTTGGCTTGTAGACGCTGGCCCGTATCCTCCGAGGGGTGACCGGGTACGTGCGCGTCAGAGCCAGGGGCTCTGTGATGACGGCAGGCTTTATACTTTGTCTTCTCTCTTTCATCTCCTCTCTTGGTCACGGCAAGATTTTGAGGAAAAGAGCTGCATTTTGGGGGCATGTTGTTTCAGTGGCCATCTGCTTGTGTGTAATTACGGTTATTCATTGTCTTTGTTTTGAAGCATGCAGCCAGTAAGGATCCCAGAGAAGCTCGAGAAGCTCGCGATCATGAGGAGCCAAAGGAGGAGAGCAACAAAACTCTTTCTGATTTTGGACGACAGCAGCTTTTACCCCCCTTCCCGCCCCTCCATCAGTCACTACCTCAAAACCAGTGCTACACAAAGTCACAGACAGGTAACAGGGGGACCCGACAGCCGTCTTTGCTCTGATGGTGGGTTACAGCCCCGCACCTTGCCGAACTAGAAGCGTGTTGACTAAGTGCGTGTGTGCCCTAGATGCGTGGCAGTTGGAGTCCTGGCCCTTCTGTCCTCACCTGTAGACCTGCAGAGGAATGTCGGACCTCTGTTCTAAAAACTTGACTAATCCCTGCATTGCTTCCTACGCTTGTCAAGCTCAAAATGAAGGTTGTTTTCATTGAGTCTTATCCCCTTGTTCTAATAGGGTAGAAGACTCTAGATTTGAGAACGTCCCTCTGTTTATAAATTAAGTGCTGTTGGGAACACACCGTGTATTGTGGAGACCTTTGAGTTAAGGCTGTGGAGAAGGGTGCTTTGGTTCTGTTACCAGCCACTTTCCCTGGGTGTTTCTCGATCTTTTGAGCTGGCTTCTGTTCACGGTCAGTTGAGGGGATGGGTGAACGTTTGATCCCTTGTTGGGGCCTTTGAGGAGGTGGGGCTGCATGAGTGGCCCCACAGGGAGGATGCTGGGGTGGCGTATCTCAAGCGAGGGGCCTCCCTCTGGAGCCTCCAAGATAGCCACACTTCCTACAGAGATGAGGTGACTCTCCCCAGTGCAGAAAGGCCCTTTCTGTGACGTCTTCATGCAGGTCAAGCACTCCTGGTGTGGTCACCTCCCGGGAAGGGTACCAAAAATCACAACTTCCATGCCTGCAGGTGTCTCCTTTTTCCTAGGGAAGCGTCATCACAGCTGCTTTGCCTTATTACAGAATCACTGGTGCGCCTTTCAGAGTTGTGGGAAATACAGAAAGCCTACCTGCTGGTCCGGTGTCTGGGGATGGACAGGGCTTGTGTGGACACAGCCCCCCGTGACTGTGTCCAGGCTCTAGACCACTCGGTCTGCTCTCTTCAGACCTCACTCCTCCCCGCCCTGCGCTGCCGTCTTCCCTTGGGGGTGGAGGCGGTGTTGGAGCCCCCTCGTCCGAGCTTAGATTCCACGTCATCTCCGTTAGTGTTTTAAACCACTGTGCGCATGGCCCCAGAGGTTCTGTTCGCCTCCCATCCTGCCGCAGCACAAACAGGAAGGCTATGCAGACTCGCTGAGGGCTGCAAAGCGCATCTTACTCTCCGTCCTGTGACTGCACAGGATGCGCATCCCTGCCTGGGCACATCCCTGCATGGCGCCCAGTCACACTGTTCTAGCATGAGATGGACAGAGCTGCGTTTCCTCGTGACCATTTATGTGCCCAGAGCCACCCCAGTGAACACAGTGCAGGGCTGCGTGTGTGATTGTCCTGGATGTCCTGTGTGGCCCTCAGCCTGGGGTTGAGGCACATCTGGTGTCCTCGGTTCCCTGTGCTCACGGGCTGTCTGTGTGGCCCTTGTCATGGTGTAGTTCACGCTCATGCATGCTCTTCCAGCGCTCTTTTCTTCACTTCTTAGAGTGAGAACAGAATGGAGCATAGGTTCTGCAGTCCTTTAGTACAGTGCCTCTGTTAAGTGGTTTTCACATTTTTTAAAACCCTGGAACTTTTAAAAAAATAAAATATTATAGAGAGCCTCATTCTATAAAGCCAGTCAGCCTGGAGCTGCTTTATCTAGAACAGGGTGGAGAGCCCTGAGTCCCCAGGAGCCCCAGCTTGTCTGGAAACCCCAGACCCCCGGCTGTTTGCTTTTTCCTGTGCTGTGTCTTCCTCGACCTTCTGTACCCGCATAGTTTGCTTCAAGGATTTCTCTCCCCTCAGTTGGTGAACTGCTGGGCAAGGTGGAAGGTGCTGGGGAAAGGGTCCAGGAGAGGACAGACTGGCCAGTGTTGCGTGGCTACACTTACCTTAGAGGTGGACACATCTGGAGACTGTGCCGTTTACTCCTTGTCGTGGGTGAGAAGTCTGTCAGGCGGGCAGATGAGGCCTGTCCCCAGTGACTGGCATTGAGGCCACTGTCCCTCCTTAGCCTCACTCTCGCAGCCACACTGTTCCCGGGGACGGGACCGTCCCGAGGCAGGGGACTGGGTGTGGGAGGTGCTCCAGGGCCCTGCTTCTGATGATCGGTGAGTTCTCCCTTGCACTTCTCCTGCTTATAGCAGGGTGATCATGTTGGCCGTCCACACAGCTTAGTGTTTTATTGTGAGTTAAGCAGATGATCTGTAAGGTACTGTCAGTTTTCTCTGTGCAACTTAGGACAAGTGAGAAATGCCTGTCACTGTTGTGGCATGCTGATGATTTTGGTAATCAGATTTTGTGAATTATCACCTACCTTTGAAAAACATTTGAATGGTATTTCTTTTCCTTTCTTGTCCCCTTTTGACTTTTTTTTTTTTTTAGCTTGCTTGCCTTTTGTTTTAGCAGCTGCAGTATCTCGGAAGAAAAAACGAAGAATGGGAACCTATAGCCTGGTTCCTAAGAAAAAGACCAAAGTATTAAAACAGAGGACGGTGATTGAGATGTTTAAGAGTATAACTCATTCCACTGTGGGTTCCAAGGTAAGGCATGCCTGCGTTGTTTGTATGTGTGCTTGGAAATCCACGTTTGTGTCAGGACCTCTCTGGCCACAAGAGCACCACGTGAGGTTGTCCATAATTTGATGACCTCGGTCCCTTTTGAAGGAACCCAGGCTCTGAGGTGCCTCGTTCTGGGGTGCAGCCTCTTTCCCAGTGCTCCCTGACCCCTCATCCCTCACCCTTTCCTGGCTCTTCCCCCAGTGGCAGAGTCGCTGCATCCCACCTTGCAGGCCATGCCCTGGCAGGGGTTGGCAGGTTGCTCCTGATGCTGGGGTTCTTCGTGACAGTGTGCTCTTTCCCATGTTCCAGGGCGACAAGGACCTGGGCGCCAGCACCCTTCACGTGAATGGGGAAAGCTTGGAGCTGGACTCAGAGGAGGACGAGTCGGAGGAGCTTGATGAGGATGAGGACCAGGGGGCCGAGCAGGCTGCTGCATTTCCCACAGAGGACAGCAGGACCTCTAAGGGGGGCAGTGTGTCAGAAACCGACCGCACCCAGAAGGTAGGCCTTTTCCACCCCCTCGGGGAGGGACTACAGATGATGGGTCGTTGGTCCTGTGAGGGGCGCGGTCTGGCCCTTCTCTGCCGCAGTCATTTCCCTGTTTTCCTTCTGACTTGGGCGTTTGCATTCTGTTTATCTTGAAGTTGTAGATTTATTTTCATCAGAGGAGTGTTTGCGGTCTTGTACAGTACTCTTTGAAGTAAGCGTCTGGAGCTTGTTTAGGTTCTAGATGGACAGGCATACACTGAGGGCTGACGTGTGCCAGTGGAGCTGCTTGTCACTGGCCTTGGTGTGACTGCCCTTGTTCAGTCCTAGGCGCGCCACAGGTGCATCCTCCTGCACATGAGGCACTGACGCTGGGAAGGGCTCTTCCTCCTGGTTGGAGTGAGCATCCAGGGCTGCTGCCTGGACCTGCCGTCTGCTCACAGCAGGTGTACCTCGGTGTGCCAGGTGTGTCCCCATCACACAGTTCACTCATGTCTACGCGAGGATGTGCTCTGGGAGGGGGCAGGTGCTGGCTCAGTCGCAAGTCACTGTCTGCAGGTGGCCCCGGGGGCTCAGCACTGGGCAGGGTTTTCAGGAGTTGTAGGGGCAGACCCGAGTAGAACACAGTTCCTGAGTAGATGCCGACCCCTGGGTGTGTGTTTACGCTCTCAGTTTGGGGGGGGGGGGTTGAAGTAGATGAGGAGGAGAAAGAGGAGTTGAGAATCAGGTGGTTGGTTGGAGATGGGTGTGATTGGACTGTTTTTGTATCCTACTTTTTTGAGAGAATTTTGGACCATCTTTATATAAGATGGGCTTTTGTATCTGATGAGGTCTTCTAAAACTAATGGTAGGCAGAGAAGTTCTAGGTGATCTCATTGAAATAGTGACCTGTTTGAAATGTATAATTTCGTGGATTAACTTTTTACATTTTGAGTCAAAGTGCTGTGCTCTGTAGGTACAGACTTCCCTTCCAGCTCTCAGAATTTTGGGGGGTGTCTTGTCTTGTGCTGGAAGCCACGGGTAATAGTCTATTTATGATTTCTGGGTTCTAAATAAGATAAACATTCTTTTTCACTGGTGATTTTTAATAAATTTGTGTAAGCTGTCTTCTTATACTTCATTGGTTTCATTTTTTATGTGTAAGTACTTGATTCATGTACATTTGTTTTGGGATAAAATATGAGGTGGATATACTCAAAATGGGTGTATTTTATGGTATATGAATTCTATCTCAGTAAAGCTTTTTAGGCAAAATGTGAGGTCAGGGTCCCATGGCTTCCCTCAGAATGGTTATAGCCACATTATGTGAGCACCATTTATTGACTGACGTTTCTTTCCCCTGAAGATTTGAAACGTCGCCTTTATCGAACACCATATGGCATATAGAGCTGACTCGGTTTCTGGATTCTCCTCTTCCAGAGAGAATCTGGATGCTGAGTAATACTGAGTAACTCTATACATTGGTATAAAGGAAAGAATTAAATGGGTAGCAAGCCAACAAAAAGAGTCAAGAAACCAGTAAAAGTAGAATCACAAGGACAGTGTGGCCAAGTGGAAAACGGAGTAAGATAACAGGAACAAATCTAAATAAATCAGCAATAGTAATAAACAGTAATGGGTTTATTATGTGAACTGCTTCAGAGAATAGAGAAAGATGGGGATGGACACTAGCTCCTTCTGAGGCCAAACTCGCTTTCAGTCCTGGAACAGTATTGGTTAGACAGAGCTGTATCTCTGCATGATAGCGACTATGGAGAAGGTAGGGCTTCCCGGGAAGACACTGGTTTATTACAGGAAAACTGTCGATAAGACTTACCACATTAACAGATTAAATGAGAAAAACTAGCATTTTATAAAGTTCAGCTGTATGTTTTTTGGATTTGGGGGATGACTTTATGATTCCAGCTGTGACAAGGAACAATTCACTGATCAGAGAGTGACTGCACCTCTGTGCCGCCACCCAGCTCACAGGCCTGAGTTGTCCCAGCCTCCCCTGTGGGCCCTTCTGGTCCCCGCAGAATTGTCTTCTTGGTTTCTGTGCTTCATGTAAACGGGATCATGCATATGTTTTCCTTTTTCAGAGTGTGACTTGTTTTACTCAGTATTACGTTTGTGAAGTTTATATTACTCATTCATTTTCATTGTTACGCACAGTGGATTATAAAGTGGTCTGAGGGATCTCTTTCAGAGGGGACCCATTCAAAGGGTCCGTGGGGTCAAAACTGTTATTGTCATAATGCTAAGACACTACTTACTGTTTTACCTCTCACTCGTTGGAGTTACATTGTGGTTTAAACATTTCTCAGTTTAAATTTGTCCAGTAGTAAACGTTAGTAGACGTAACACACATCAACAAAAGTGCTTTGTCATTCGCCGTAATTTTTAATAGAACGAAGGGTTTCTGAGACCAGAATGTTCAAGGGCCACTATGTTACAGTATTTCTTTGGATGACTGGTCAAATTTATGTATCCATTCCTCTGTTGGTGGACATTTGGGCTGTTGCCAGTTGGGGCCTTTACAGATGACATTGCTGTGAGCATTCCTTTTTGTCTGTGGGGGGCACACCCCCATTGGGATTGCCATGTCATGTGACCAGTGGTAGGCATAGCCACGCAGCTCTCCCGCTCTCAGCTGTGCGTGCATGAGTGTCCTTCTGTCGCACTAGCTTGATACACTTGGTATTGCCCAGCCAGTGAGTGTAGTGGTGTTGCATTATTGTTCTGATTCACATTTTCCTGATTTCCAAGAAGGTTGGGTACTTTTTTACATGTTTATTTGCCATTTGGATGCCTTTTTTTTTTTTTAAGATTTTATTTATTTGAGATAGAGCACAAGCTGGGGGGCAGAGGGAGAGGGAGAAGCAGGCTCCCCACTGAGCAGGGACCCCACACAGGGCTCGATCCCAGGACCCTGGGATCCTGACCTGAGCCGAAGGCAGATGCTTAACCGACTGATCTACCCAGGCTCAATCTTTTTAAAATACAAATTACCCAATGGTATTTAAAGATAGCTTATATTAAATAAACCTAAAGATATCAGAATCCTACCCCCCCCCCAAAAAAGTTACTTAGTGGTGAACATTTTAAAACATTTCTGATGTCAATAATAAAAAGAGGGAGGGATTGCTCCTTTCTCCCCTAACATGAGCGCTGCAGTGTTGATTATTCTTGCTGTGATGCTGTAAAATGAGAACCAGAAGGAAACATTAATATTTAAAAGGACAAGGGAGAAGAGTTTGCCAAGAATATAATCATCTGTCTTAAAAAATTCAAGAAAATCAGCTGAGGAACTATTATAGCTAGTGAGCTGAACTTAAATGTGATCAAGACATAAAACCATTCCTTTTCTTGTGTAGCTGCAATAGCCAGTTAGAAAATGTAACGACAGCAGTATCAATAATAGCAATAATGTCTAGGGCTATTTTTTAACTTTTCTAGTAGAAAATGTCAAGCTATGCAGACATATAGATAATAGTGAACAGTTGTTAACGCTTGGCCAGTCTTGCTTATCCACACATGGATTGTCTTTTTTTTTTTTTTTTTTTTTTAAGATTTTATTTATTTGACAGAGAGAGAGCACAAGCAGGGTGGTGGCAGGCAGAGGCAGAGGGAGAAGCAGGCTCTCCCTGCAGAGCAGGGGGAGCCCGATGCAAGACTCCATCCCAGGACCCCGGGATCATGACCTGAGCCAAAGGCAGTCGCTTAAGCAACTGAGCCACCACCCAGGCGCCCCACACGTGGGTTGTCTTGAAGCAGATATTTCCATATGGATCTTTAAAAGAAAAGGACTCTAAAAGCAAAAATCACAGTATCACACCTAAAACTTAGCTGTAAGTCTTTAATACCACGAGGGTACTTAGTAATAAATTTAATAGGAAATGTCAATTCCCTAGAAGAGAAAACTGAAACTTTCCTGAAGGAGGTTGGAAAGGAGACATAGATTCACATTAAGATCTATTACTTGTCTGAGAAAAAAGCCCTTGTTTGTCTGAGGGAAGACCTGTTCTTTGAGGGAAGACCTGCTGTTTGTTGGAGAAAAGACCCCTTGTTTGTCTGAGGGAAAACCTGTTGTTTAGCTAGGGAGGACCCGCTGTTTGTCTGAGAGAAGACCTCTTGTTTGACTGAGGGAAGACTTGCTGTTTTCCTGAGGGAAGACCCATTGTTTGAGTGAAGACTCCTTGTTTGAGGGGAGACCGCTCTTTGTCTAAAGGAAGACCGCTTGTATGTCTGAGGGAAAACCTGCTGTTTGTCTGAGGGAGGATCCCTTGTTTGTCTGAGGGAAGACCCGTGTTTGACTGAGGGAAGACTCTTTGTCTGAGGGAAGACTTGTTTGCCTGAGTGAAGACCCCTTGTGTATCTGAGGGAAGACCTGCTCTTTGTCTGAGGGAAGACCTCTTGTTTGTCTGAGGGAAGACCCCTTGTTATCTGAGGGAAGACCCCTTGTTTGAGGGAAGACCTGCTCTTTGAGGGAAGACCCCTTATTTGTCTGAGGGAAGACACCTTGTTTGAGGGAAGACCTGCTCTTTGTCTGAGGGAAGACCGCTTGTATGTCTGAGGGAAGACCTGCTCTTTGTCTGAGGGAAGACCTCTTGTTTGTCTGAGGGAAGACCCTTTGTTATCTGAGGGAAGACCCCTTGTTTGAGGGAAGACCTCTTGTTTGTCTGAGGGAAGACCCCTTGTTTATCTGAGGGAAGACCTGTTCTTTGAGGGAAGACCCCTTGTTTGCCTGAGGGAAGACCCCTTGTTTGCCTGAGGGAAGACCCCTTGTATGTCTGAGGGAAGACCTGCTGTTTGTCTGAGAAAAGACCCCTTGTTTGTCTGAGGGAAAACCTGCTGTTTGTCTGAGGGAGGATCCCTTGTTTGTCTGAGGGAAGACCCCTTGTTATCTGAGGGAAGACCCCTTGTTTGAGGGAAGACCTCTTGTTTGTCTGAGGGAAGACCTTTTGTTTGCCTGAGTGAAGACCCCTTGTTTATCTGAGGGAAGACCTGCTGTTTATCTGAGGGAAGACCCCTTGTTTGAGGGAAGACCTGCTCTTTGAGGGAAGACCCCTTATTTGTCTGAGGGAAGACACCTTGTTTGAGGGAAGACCTGCTCTTTGTCTGAGGGAAGACCCCTTGTTTGTCTGAGGGAAGACACCTTGTTTGAGGGAAGACCTGCTCTTTGTCTGAGGGAAGACCTCTTGTTTGCCTGAGGGAAGACCCCTTGTTTGTCTGAGGGAAGACACCTTGTTTGAGGGAAGACCTGCTCTTTGAGGGAAGACCCCTTGTTTGTCTGAGGGAAGACCCCTTGTTTGAGGGAAGACCTCTTGTTTGTCTGAGGGAAGACCTCTTGTTTGCCTGAGGGAAGACCCCTTGTTTGCCTGAGGGAAGACCCCTTGTTTGCCTGAGGGAAGACACCTTGTTTGAGGGAAGACCTGCTCTTTGAGGGAAGACCCCTTGTTTGTCTGAGGGAAGACCCCTTGTTTGAGGGAAGACCTCTTGTTTGCCTGAGGGAAGACCCCTTGTTTGCCTGAGGGAAGACCCCTTGTTTGTCTGAGGGAAGACACCTTGTTTGAGGGAAGACCTGCTCTTTGAGGGAAGACCCCTTGTTTGTCTGAGGGAAGACCCCTTGTTTGCCTGAGGGAAGACCCCTTGTTTGCCTGAGGGAAGACCTTTTATTTGCCTAAATGAAGACCCCTTGTTTATCTGAGGGAAGACCTGCTCTTTGAGGGAAGACCCCTTGTTTGCCTGAGGGAAGACCCCTTGTTTGCCTGAGGGAAGGCCGGTTACTTGTCTGAATGAGAAGATCATTGTTTCATCCTCCCCACATTGCCTGTAAGTTCAGAATAGTTCTCATCAAGACCCTCAGAGGACTTTCTATAGAATAGCTGATGTGGGAATTGTGTGCAGCAAGCACAGGGAGAAAAAAGAGCAGTTAGAACTACTGGAGAGTGATTAAATGGGGATTTGTGCAGGAATGGGAAAGCATTGAGTGAGTGGAACAGGAAGTCCATAACAAACCTATTTGTATGTGAACATACAGTTTACTCTAAGGAGGGGGTTTTAATTTTTGTTTATTTTTTAAGGATGGGTTTTTAGTTTGTGGTCAGGGGATCATGAACTTTTCAGTAAATGTTATTGGGACAATTGATCTTTTGGGGGAAAAATAGAGGGGAACTGTCGCATCATGCCACATAGGAAATGGAAATTCTGTTCTGGAATTGGATAGTGGTGATGGTTGCACTACTTGGAATATACTAAAACACTGAATTGTACACTTTTTTTTTTTTAAGATTTTATTTGAAAGAGAGAGAGAGTGAGTGGAGGGAGGGGTGTGGGAGAGAGAGAATCTCAAGCAGACTCTGCGCCGAGCATGGAGCCTGACCCAGGGCTCGATTCCACAACCGTGAGGTCATGACCTGAGCTAAAATCAAGAGTCGGACACTTAGGGGCACCCGGGTGGCTCAGTCGTCGAGCGTCTGCCTTCGGCTCAGGTCATGATCCCAGGGTCCTGGGATCAAGCCCCGCATCGGGCTGCCTGCTCGGCGGGAAGCCTGCTTCTCCCTCTCCCGCTCCCCCTGCTTGTGTTCCCTCTCTCGCTGTGTCTCTCTCTGTCAAATAAATAAATAAAATCTTAAAAAACACACACACACAAAAACTGTGGTCCTGGGGCGCCTGGGTGGCTCAGTCGTTATGCGTCTGCCTTCGGCTCAGGTCATGATCCCAGGGTTCTGGGATCGAGCCCCGCATCGGGCTCCCTGCTCGGTGGGAAGCCTGCTTCTCCCTCTCCCGCTCCCCCTGCTTGTGTTCCCTCTCTCGCTGTGTCACTCTCTGTCAAATAAATAAAATCTTAAAAAAAAAAAAAAAAAGTCGGACGCTTAACTGACTGAACCACACAGGTGCCCCTGAATTGTACACTTTATTTATTTATTTTTAAAGATTTTATTTATTTATTTGAGACAGAATGAGAGAGAAAGAGCACATGAGAGGGGGGAGGGTCAGAGGGAGAAGCAGGCTCCCCACAGAGAAGGGGGAGCCCGATGCGGGACTCGATCCAGGGACTCCAGGATCATGACGTGAGCCGAAGGCAGTCGCTTAACCAACTGAGCCACCCAGGTGCCCTGAATTGTACACTTTAAAAGCATGAATTTTAGAGTAGGTAAGTTATATTTCAGTAAAGCTGTTGTTTAAAAAAGTAAATTACAGAAGCTTTAAAGTGTCAACATAAAATACCGAACTGTGGAAGAAAATGTTAGAAACTGTTTTTCTAATCTCAAATAAGGAAGGCCTTCTAGTGCCAGACACAGATCCAGAAGCGACAAAGAGAAAGATGAGAGGTTTGACTTGTCCAGATAAAGTCTCAATATTTTTGTATGATAAGAAAGACCAGAAGCAAAGCTTCACTTGATAGGGAAAATTTTTATAACATATTTAATAGGCAAAGCATTGTTACCGATATGTGTGTAGCTTCTCCTAATTAATAAAGCAAGTACCCAGTAGCAGTATGGACTGAGGGTTTGGTCGCATGAGACAAAGTGGAAGAAGTAGGAAAGTATGTGAAGCCGTGAAGTTGCTCAGTGCCTTGTATACTTGGGGAATGAAGACCACAGTGATTGTGCGACCCCTTGGAGGGCTGGTTGTGCCTCTGTGGGCATTGCTGATGGCAGTAGTCTTGAACTGCACGTTTGTGGAGAGGAGTGTGTGTCTGTTGGCTTGTCCTGGGGGATCTTAGTTTGTGTAAAACGCAGCCTCAGAGCGAAACTGGTAAGGGTGTGCCTCGATTAGGGAATGGGGAAGTTACTGGGTGCAGCCCCACAAAGAGCCAGGCTGAGGGTGTGTGTTACCACATCCCTGCCTCAGGGGGTAGGTGGAGAAGGGGTGAATGGATACCCATATATTTTAGTGTTTTTGCATTGAAAATGTATTCATGTATTACCTGTGTGGATAGAAAAGATAAATACAGAAAAAAAAAAAGGAAAAAAAAGTACCTATATTGTTTTGATATGGAAATAATTCCAAAACATATTTTTAATTAGAAGAAAGTTTCATTCACAAAATTGTGTTGGGTGCTCTGCCAGCCAGCAGGCAGAATCATGCTTCTGTGTTCAGGCCCGTTCATGCCAAACATGGGCTGGAAGGACTGTGAGCAGCACTAGCATGATGGTCCTGGGGGCTGAACTGGGCTCTTGGGTGGGTTTAAAGGGTAGGTTTTGCATTTTGTATTATTTTTTGGCCTCTGGAAATGTTTTTACTGTGTATTTTGTTACTTTTTAATTGAATTCTACTACACACAAAATGCACCAAGTGCACTAGTCTTCAGCATACAGATGATGGTCTATTACGTGCTGAGGGGGCTGCCTTCCAGATCAGTACAGAAATACAGCAGAGGAGCGGCCCACCTGGGACGGGCTCTTGGGCAGGGGTCAGGCAGGACTCGCAGCTGGTCCCGGTCACTTCATGGACACAGCACCTGTGTCCTCTCCCGCCCCCCAGCCCGCCTGTGCACGTGCATCTTCAGTGCTGACTGCCAGTGTGTCCAGTAAGACGTGTTTTTATCGAGTCACCTCCACTGAAGGGTCTCATTAGTTGTGTTTTCTTTTTGGCTTGTTGTGCGGCTGGCCAGACGGACGGCGAGTCTGAAGAGGAGCAAGAGTCAGCCGGCACCGGGGAGGAAGACGAGGATGGAGATGAGTCTGATCTGGTAACCCCAGCCCCGCACTCTGATTTCGTGTTTGGTGGCAGAGTAAAGCAGGAGGCTCTGTAGTCTGTCCAGCCCTTCACTCAGCCGTCATTGCAAGTGTGTGCTTGGAATCTGGGGCCGTGATGGCAGATCTCATCCCAGACCTTGGGAAGGAGCATGAGAAAGACATCTGAGCAGAGAGCCAAAGGAGATGGGCTTGGCTCAGGTCCTCATCGGGCAGGCAGGGCTAGGGGAGGGAGGTTGGGGCCTTGGTGTGTGAGGGGTGGTAGAATGGGTAGGAATTGGCAGCAAGGACAGTGGCCATGATTCTGCCCTATGACCAATGTGAGAGAGAAGGAAGGACTTGAGGTGTCTCAGGATTAGAGCCAGCAGGACCTTCTGTGGGCTGGTTGTCACAGGGAGGTAAGCGGTCAGAGGGCAGGGGCACTGGGTCTGTGGGGATGGGGGAGCAGGGGCTTGGAGATGGGGAAGAGCACAAGCCTCAGTCAGGATGGGGCCCAGAAAGCACCCAGCAGGTGAGCTTGAAGCAGAGAAGGCGGAGTTGACGTGAGACGGGAGGGTCATGTTGTGAGCTGAGAAATCCTCCCAAGAGGGAGACACTGGTCCCTGGCATCAGTGTGTTGTGTGGGCAGATGAGATGAGGACTTGGAAGGGACAGTTGGGTTTGGTGATGAGCTGCTCTTTGTCTGGAATGGCAGCTTGAAGTGACAGTGAGCTTGGGGGCAGTGCTTGAGGAAGTTGGGTCTGAAATTTTGCAATAAGGAGGGCAGGGGTGAGGCAGAGGAAATGGAGCACAGGGTGCATGGGGCCACTGGTGGGGCAGCGGAGGAGCCTGTGTGTGCTGGCGGGCCACCGCAGTCAGAACTGGGCACCCAGCACCGCGCCTGGTGTACCTCCTGCTTTCCTCCTTTCTAGCGTCTCTCTGTATCCCTAGGGAGCAGGGGTTGTGTGATTCTCCTTGTAGACCAGTTGAAGGTGGTGGCAGTTCTTGCTCTGCGTCTCTTTGTAGATGCCCTTTCTGCATCTTAGGTTTTAGAAAGGGTCACAAAAATCTTAAAATATTGTAAAATTAATTGTAATTTCTTTCCTTATTCTCCATGTAGATAATTAATGTGGACATAGATTCTGAAGCAGATTGAGGCATTCATTGTTCCTTTTCTCATGAGCAGAATGAATGGATGCATATGATTAAAAGTGGATTCTCTCACTGAGCTTATTTATTTATTTAGTTCCTGACTAGAACTTTCTCATTCTTTCTTGTGCCAGATTCGAGTAAGATTTATAAATTCCATTTAAATGTTCTTGGCTTTTCTTTTCTTTTTTTTTCCTGTAAAATAACAACTTAGTGTGATTTAGGGGAAAACATGAGTATTTTTAAGAATGGGACCAGAAAAGTGTCTGAAAGTGAAATTAATCTCCTAGTTGAAGAACCAAGATATAGCAGGTATTTTATTTTGCAAGGAAACAAAACTTCTAGCACCTTTTGCTTTCAGGAGCTCCCATGCTTTGCTTTTTCTGTTCCTGCCCCTTTGGCTCTCAGAGTTCTGAATCCAGTATCAAGAAGAAGTTTCTCAAGAGGAAAGGGAAGCCTGACAGCCCTTGGATCAAGCCGGCTAGGAAACGGAGGCGGAGAAATAAAAAGAAGCAAAGCGGTGTGCTGGGTAAATGTGATGTCCACATTCGAGGACTGTCTGGGTGGGAAGTGGGCCCATGGGAGGCCGTCCGGGGGTGGGGTTGGGGTTCTGTGTAGGATTTCATTTGGAAAAGGGGCTTTACTGTTTTAAGGGGAAAAAAAGGTATGAACTTCATTAGAGACACTCAGGTGACCCTCAGGTGGCTTCCTTCTGGCAGACCTCCCTTAATGCTGGTTGCATTGTTGAGTGTTGAGCTAATTGGGATTATTCATCTTTTTCCTTGTGTGACCAGGAATCTGTGGCTTCTGAACATTGTATGGTTGCCGTGGCTGCCCTTGGTGTCAGGTGTGGGCAGTGCCTGGGTCCACACAGTGGCTTTCAGCCCTTTGGTCAGATTCCCCTGTTCTGGAAGTAATTTTGTTAAAGGGGATGCAGGGAAGGAAATGACCCTGAAATCCAGAAGGTGAGCAAGCCTAGTGGGCCAGGGGTCGCTTCTGATGGCTTTGTTGCAGAAGATTCGGCATGTGCTGTAGTGCACGTGATTCAGGTGCACGGTGGTGAGTTTCCACACGTGTATGACCACGAGACCTCCACCACAGTTATGTCGTGAATGCTCCTGCTGCCACTTGGTGGCCTTTCCCTCTCCCCAGCCAGCCCTCCCCATCCCTAGGCGCCTCTGCTGTACACTCTGTCTGCAGATTGGTTAGCACTGTGTAGGACCTCATTTGAGTGGATGACTGGGGAGGTGCCCTTGTCTGTCTGCCTTGTGCATAACTGTTTGAGTCATCCACGTTGTGGTACCGGTGGATCGTTGGCCAGGAACGATTCCGTGGTTCACTCTTCACCTGCTGATGGACGCTTGGGCTCTTTCCTGTGTTTGTTTCTTACATTTGTATACAGTCTTTATTGATCAGACACTTTCGCTTACCTTGGGTAAATATTTAGGAGTGGACTAGCTGAGCTGTATGTCTGACTTTAGGGAACTGCCGAGAGGTTTTCAGCCGGAGGCAGGAGTACCGCCCTCATCTCTCACGTTCCCACAGCGGCACAAGAGCTCTGCGCCTCTGTGTCCTTGCGACACTCGTCAGGGTCGGTCTCTGGTCCCAGTGCTGCTGGGGCATCCCGGGCCTCGCCGGGCCTTCACTGCGTGTTCACCTCGTTGAGGGGTGAGGCTGCACACCGTGGCCTCGTGTGTCTCCTTTGTAAAGGGTTCTCTGTTTTGCTCATTTAAAGGTCAGATTGTATACCTTCTCACTGACTTGGAAGAGTTCTTGCAAGATTTCGGATACAAGTCTTTGATTATGTACACATTTTGCACATATGTGTGCCTAGTAAATAAAGAAAATTTGTTGAAGTCTAATGTATGAATTCTTTTCTTTTAAAATTCCTGCTTTTTATGATCCCAGAAATCTTTTACTAGGTCAGGTCACAAAGATTGTGTCCTGTATTCTCTTCTTGAAGTTTTACAGTGTTAGGCCTGATGCGTGCATCTCTGACCCATTTAAGTTAGCATTTGTGTGTGCTCTGCGGCAGGCCGCTCCCCTGTTGCGTGTGGATGCCCAGTTGTTCCTGCCCCACTGCTTAATTTGACTTGTTTCTCTGGGTCGCCCTTCGAACCTTTGTTGACAGTGTGTGTGGGGGCTGTTCTATGTGCTTGTTTATCTTTACGCTCATACCACAGAGCCAAGGAGCTTGTTCTGATTCCACAGTTAAACATTGGCCGTTCTTCTCCAGCCCCCCGATGCACAAACAGGTTTGCTAAGTGGATGTCAGGGAGGCAGAGCTAACCCCGAAGCACAGAGGAGAGCTGTGTGTGGAGCCCGTGAGCCTCCCGTGAGCTCCGTCTCTTTCACTCACGTTTCCTTTTCTCTTCACCACGGACGACCGGCCAGTGTGGCTTTTTTGCTCGCTAACAAACGAACAGTGTTGGTAGACTTAAGACTGCATGTGAGATGAATGCTTGAATGTTTATTCGCATAGGGGCTCAAATTTTATTTCTTTGTGTAGGGTGTTTAAAGTTGCCCAGACTACTCGTATTCTTCACATGCGTGGTGATGAGCTGAGCTCTCACAGTGGCTGGCTTCATCCTGTCTGTCCATGAGCTCAGGTGCAGGAGGCGACATGCGTTCACAGGCCCCGGGTACCACACTGCTCTGTATTATGGCTCACTTATTTCTGATCACCGACATAATATCAATGACTAGTGTTTGGAAGCTTGGCTGTGAAAAACAGGCACCTGCCCTTTGCTAGTGTTAGATATTATCCTGAGTGAGTGTGTACTGTTCACAGGCTTCCTCCGTGAAGTCTGCTCACAACGGCAAGAACCCATGTGGGTTCTCCAGGAATGGTGGACAGGCCTTGAGGGCATAGGAGGCCTGAGTCTGGGCAGCGCCCATTTCACAGGCCCCTCAGTTGTATTCAGATTGCATTGCCCTCTAGAGCGTGATGCCCTTCATAAAGCACCATGTCTGACAGGTGGATACGTCCCTGCAGCCCTGCGTCCTTTCCCTTTGAATCCCGAACTCAGATGTCCGTGGGATTGGGCAGGTTTCCCAGCAGCACCGATGGGGTGGCTTCTCAGCCACTTTACATCAGCTGGTCTTTCAGACCTGCAGATCAGAGAATTCTCTTGTTTTATTTTTAAAGTAGTAGTTACAGAACATTTATATACTATGTTTTATGTTTCCTTGGTTGTTTGATCGGCCTTTATCTGACTGGTGTAGTTACAGAGAAAGATGTTTCCACATGTCAGTTCCTTGTTTTTCGTGATACAGCTCCCCCTCCTGCCACGAATAGTCTGTGCAAATGGGGGAGTTAGCAAAATGAGGCGCAGGAAAGAAACTGAGTGAGGCCGCAGTGTCCTGGACAGGGGTGGTGTTGGAGTTCGTGGTTTTGCATGGGTTAATTAGCCTTCCCCATGGTCTCTGCTGGAGAGGCGGCCCGCATGCAGTGTTTCACAGGCCCCTTCTGAATGCAGGTTCTGAAGCATATACGTCATCTTCAGGAAGCGCAGAGCAGACGGCGCCCGGAGACAGCACGGGGTACATGGAAGTCTCTCTGGACTCCCTGGATCTCCGTGTCAAGGGGACGCTGCCCTCACAAGCAGAAGGTGAACCTCTGTGCTGTGACCAGGCCGGGCACCATCTTGCTCTTTGTTTGCTGGGGGCGGCCTCATACTAACGTGATGCCCTCTGGTGGGTAATGATGAAACGTTCGATTAACTGCATCCCGAAAAGGTGGCCGAGTGGATGCACTGGGGCGCGTTTGCCCAGTCCCCCATGGCATGGGAGTGAAACGTCACCCGTAAGATCAGGTTGTTGGTGGTCATGGCTTACAACACGTCCGCCCGTCGGTCAGACACATTTTTACGTAGCGTTCCTGCTGGAGAGGGGTCCTCCCGCCCTGGCTGTGTCACGACGTGAGACGTGACATGCTTTGTCATCGTCTCTGACTCCGATTGTGATTGGTGTTCAGGTGTGTTCTGTGCTGAAACAAAGGGTACACCTAGTGCTGGTTTGGGCCTTGAAGGTGCAGGCGTACCCACAGCTCCCCTGGTTCTGGGCCTGGAATGCTGGGGGTGCAGGCAGTCAGCTGGCCCGAGTTGTGCGGGGCTTTCTCTCCACCACTGTTTGCTCTCTTTGAACCATTTAGAAACCTTTCATCCATGAAAAGGAACTAATCACTGACTGTTTTGGAAAATCTGTTTAAAATGTAGTATGGGGAAAATGTAAAATCCTAAAGGTATTTACATTCCACGTGGACCTTGCAGTTGTGGGTTGTGTGCTGCTATAGGAGTTTAACCTGTCAGTCTTCAGAGGACAAATAACTGGCTTTTTAGGGTTTTGAACACTAGAGAAATTTTGATCACCTCTTTAATGTGGGAAATCACACCTTTAGGCGTAAGACACATTGTAGACTTGCCCGTCAGAGAAACCATTTTTCTTCTTCTTGCACCAGATAGAGTAGAACGCCTCTCTAGTGCCCTGAAGTTGTTGGCATCATCCCCTCATGCTTTCTTTCGACATGAAGGGTAATTTTTCTAAACCTGCTTTTTAGGTTTGTTTCAGGAACCCACAGATTTGGATGTAAGCTGGAAATAGTATTTCATCTAATCAGATTTCCCCTCTGCTGTGCCCCGGTGGTTGGAGGTGAGGAGACAGCGGGGAGCACAGTGGAAACTCCTGTTGCTCACAAGCACAGTGACCTTGGCCTTGCCCCAGTTTGTTTAGCTGAGCAATGGGAGATGGTGTGTTTATGTGCTTATATTCTCTTTCTGGTAAAAGTAAGTGCCAAACTGCAAGTTGGAGAAGTAGGAGGGGAAAGTGAAGGCTTTCTGAGATTCTGTGACATTTTGTAAGTTGATTTCCTAAACTTTATTTTTCCCTGATTGGTAACGACTGATTGATTAGTCAGTGATTGGTCTGTCCAGTCGTACTTTTGATTTAGAGAATCGGTGCATTGAAGACACAAGTTGCGTTTGCAGCCCTGCCTTTTTTTTGGTGTCTGGTTTTGGACACTTGAGGGAGGCAGTTGTGGAGCCCGAGGCTGGACAGGAGGGACAGAGTGCCTCAGGCTCACTGGAGGCCTAGGGGGTGTGCTCTGGCGATGGGTGCAGAGGGCAGCTGATGGTTCTGGGTCATGGGTCCAGAGGGTCCAGGCTTGAGCCTGCAGAATGTTTGTGCACAATCAGAATCCGCTGCTCGCATGTCCTTCTTGGCATCTTTGCTGCTAGGTCTGCTGAGTGGAAGTTGAGTAACATTGTGGTCCCAGCAGAGGATGGTAGGGGGGAGGCCAGGAGTGGATGACGTGGAGATTTTGGGGGGAGCCAGAGCTCAGTGGCAGTGGGCACTTGGTGGGGTTCTCTTGAGCCGTTCCCTTGGCGCCCCTGGTGGCTCCCACTGCTGGAGACAGGGGCACACCCCATGCTCAGGAGGCGACTGAGCCACTGCCGCATTGTCCGTGTGTGGGAAACTAAATCCTAAGGCCTGGTCCTCACTCCCACCCTCGGCCTTCTCAGCCATGCTGGCCGGCCCCTTGGGCAGCCTGTGTCTTCCTTGTTGTAAAATGCAGTTGCTAAGCAGAGTCCTCGCCAGGGCTCTCCCAGTTTTAAACTTGTGGTGTTGCTAATGTTAGTTCTAGCTCACCGTTTCCCTGTTTCCTCTCACCGTGAAGGAAGGGAGTCACTCTCTTGGGGTGTAGGTGACCCAGAGGCTCAGCAGTGTCACAGGGCAGAATGAGCATGCAGGCTCCTGCTGTCAGTTATGGAGGGCCCTGCATCCTGAGTCTCCTGGTGAGGACCAGCCTCAGATTACACATAAGGGTAGTGGTGGGCAGTGAGGGCATGTCCTCCAACCCATGTGGGCCCACGTACATAGGTGTGGCAACAAGAGTCCATTATTCTCTCTCCCTTCTTTTTCTTTTTCCTTTTCCTTTTCTTTTTCTTATTTTTTTTTTTAAGATTTTATTTATTTGACAGAGATAGCGAGAGAGGGAACACAGCAGGGGGAGTGGGAGAGGGAGAAGCAGGCTTCCTACGGAGCAAGGAGCCCGATGCGGGACTCGATCCCGGGACCTGGGATCATGACCTGGGATCATGACCTGAGCCGAGGGCAGACGCTTAATGACTGAGCCACCTAGGCGCCCCTCTTTTTCTTACTGTTTTAAGTAGGCTCCACACTAGGCTTGAACTCATGACCCTGAGATCATGACTTGATCTGAGATCAAGAGTCGGATGCTCAGCTGACTGAGCCACCCAGGCGCCCCAAGAGTCCGTTCTTCTTAACTAAGAGAGCTAATGGCGAGTGTTGGAGATGTCGATCACCTTATGTTTCCACTTCGGCTGTCTCACAAGAGGAGAGCATGAACTGTGTCTTCCTTTGGAAGCAGCCAGACCCTGTTTCCAGGTTGGATTGAGGGGTCTTTCTGGCAGCCAGCCTGCACCCCCACCCCTGGAGGCCAGCCTGGCTCTGGCTGCACTCACATGTGGGCTGTAGGCCCTCCTTCTCCCCTGGTGTCTCACCGTAAATTGGGGATTAGAAGGAGATAAGATGTACCACCCTCATTACTGCTGTCACTGTTAGCCTAGCGTCCCTCAGCTCCTCCCTCCTCAGTCTAGCAAACGTCCTGGGTAATAAGTAAACCCAGATGGAATCGAACGTTTCTTTCTGTGGCTACAATTCTAAAACCAGGTGAGGAGAGCAAGGTCTTAACATGTATTAAATGCCCTTTTGTGTGAAAACCAAGAAATTTAGGGGTAGCTAATGAAGGTATAGTCTCTTTCTGAACTTAGGTCCTGGATCCTGAGAACATGGATTACCGAGTAATCTTGTGAGCCCGGCTGCTGGCATGTCAGTGGGAGAGGTTCCCGCCCAGTCCCGCCAGCAGCAGGCGCTCGACAGGCGGGCGGACCCTCTTGCTGCGGTCCTTGTGCCAGCAAAGTAATTGGCGTTGTTTTCTTCCCTCACACGTGAGGTTTCCAGAAAGACCATGTCATTGGTCGCTTTCTGGACTGCCGTCTTGAGGTGGGGACTTGGTGCCTCTGAATGTGGTGTGGAAGCCTGTGTGGGTGCGCGCTCTGCTGTTGGTGACACTCACGTGTGTTTGTGTGACTTCAGGGCTGGCCAACGGTCCCGATGTGGTGGAGACAGACGGCCTTCAGGAAGTGCCCCTCTGCAGCTGCCGGATGGAAACCCCGAAAAGCCGAGAGATCACCACTCTGGCCAACAACCAGTGCATGGCTACGGAAAGTGTGGACCACGAAGTAAGCGAGCTCGTTCTCCCCGCAGCAGTGGGACGAGGCAGGACCCTAGAAGCACGGTAGAAATGGCGGTCTTGCAGGCCTGCCATCCCTTCTGCAGCTTCTGGCTGGACCCCTGGGCCCGGAAGAGCTCCCCTCATCTGCTAGGGCTGTGTGGCACCCCAGAAACACACTTTACCCTGGATAGACAGAATAAATAGCTACTTGGTCTTTTTTTCCCCCATTTTTCAGAGTAAGGAGTTGGTGTCCTGACATTCCCGGGGCTTGATTGTGTTTCCCCCCTCCCATCCCTCTCTCCTTTACTTTAGCATCTTAGGGACTCATGGTCTTTTCTGTATTCAGTGTGTTGTAAAATGAAAGAGATCCAGAAAACAATACAAGACCAGTGTTTGGCCTGCTGAGTCTCTCTGGGGCGAACACTGATAACCTGCCACCAAGGTTCAGGATCTGACAGGGGCCTGAAGGGCCCCCATTCTGCCATCTGTAGTGCTCACCTCCCTGTGTTTTCTGAACATCCTTACCATCCATATCTAAACCCATAGACACTATTGTCTTTCTGTCTTTTGATTTACACATACTCCCCCCTCCTTTTCTTTTACTTTCAATTTTTCCGTGGAACAACCCGGGCCATGTGGCCACATCATCTGGAGTTGATGGATCCCGCAGTCATGGTGCTATTCAGCTGTTCCCCTGTCCTCCTTGTACGTCTGCAGCCTAATGCAGAGGTGACCAGGCTCTTCTCACTCCCTCTGCAGGCCTTTAGGAGGACGTTAGCCCCAGGCTTTGAGATTTCCTGGAGGGTGGACCACATTGGCCCCAGGCCTCCCTGCGGGGTTTCCCAGTGAGGATCTCGTGTTTCACTGTCCCTGTCCTGGGGTCCACGGGACAGTACCTCTGTCTTCCTTCTCCTCCTGCTCCGGTACCAGTGGTGTGTGTGTCTTGTGGCTGAATGGGGTTTGCCTCCAGACACTCGAGTCTTGGAGCCGTGGTAGCTTGATTTTGTTGTGAACGATGTCTTTGGGCTGTGGCTTTGCTGTCTAGTTGCTGTTTTATGTGGGATTCCAGGAAGCTTTTAGGCCACGGTTGTTTTCCCCAGAACTGTTTTGTGGTCTCCCTATCTCATGTTTAGTTGCTAGCAAGCAGCCCTTCCCAAAACAAGCTCCTTTGTCTTTTCATTTTCTTTGTCAGGCAGCTTATTGAGCTACACTTCACACAGTGAAAGGCACCTTTTTGTGTGTGGTTCTGAGTGTTGGCAAATGTGTACGTGACCCCCACTGCTGTCAGGAACCTGCTATTCAGGTCGTCCGATGCTTTTCTGAGTCTGTCCGTCAGTTCTGTTGCTGAGGGAGGAGTGTTAGATTCTTCAGCCGTATGGGTTTCTCCTTCCGGACCCATCGGTGTGGAGGCTCTGCTCCGTTCACCTGCGTCTGATGCGCTGTCCCTCTGCAACCCCAAGAGACATCTGTGCCGAGACCTCGTGTGCCCAGCACTCACATAAGCACCTCGCTTTCCTTGGATTACTGTCTGCACCCTTTTACTTTTCACCTGTCTCTGTCTTTAAAGTGCATTTCTTTAGTCTCCGTTCTTGAATCTTGTGCAGATCATCCCCACCTCATGCGTTGTTGCTGCAGTTGGGCTACGATCTAGCGTCTTCATGGTGTTAGGGTTCATGTCATCCGTTACTCATTTTTCTCTCTTTTTTGCCTTTTGGATTGAATTTGTTTATGATTCCAGTTTATTCCACTGTGGCTTTATTATGTACGTCTTCTGGTGTCTGCGGGGACTGCCCCGGGGTTTACGGCACACGTCTGTACTTTGTTCTGGGGTACCTGCACTTGACGTGGTGTAAGGGTCTTACGGTATGTGGTCCCAAATCCTCCCTCCCAGCTTTTGTCATGCGTTTTAATTTCATATGTACCACAGGCTATTGCTGTTATTTTTGCTTTAAATAGTTGTCTTTCAGATTGCTTAAGCATCAAAGTAGTCTTTGGTGGACTTTCATTTAGACCCTACCCCAGGACCGCCCCACTCTGTTGAGTCGGAGCCCCGGATGCGGCTGTCCTAGCCGCCCCCACGCGCAGCTCGGTGCCGACAGTGAGTGCTCTCGCTTCCGTGGGCCTGGAAACGTCTCTGTTCTGCCTTCGTCTGGGGAGGTATTTTCATGGGCGTAGAACTCTCAGCACCTGCACAGGCTGCTGCTGTGTCAACTTCCGTGGTTTCTCACGAGGATGCCGGCCGCCCTCCCTGTCTTTGTGCCTCTGCTGTGATGTTGAGTTTTTCTTCGGCTGCTCCAGGGTTTTCTCCTGTCTCTGGGCCTGGGTGCCATGGTTTGGCTGTCTTTCTCTTTCGATGCTCATCCTCCTTCAGTCTCTCTGAGCCTCTTGGACTTTGATCTGTCGCCTGCTTGTCCCCGAGCCTCCTCGCCTGGCAGCCCTTAACTTCTTGGCCTGGCTGTCCTCCCCTCTCTGGCACTCTGGTCACATGTACGTCAGCTTATGTGATACTGTCTCAGCCGGTGGGTGTTCTGCTCTTTTTTCTGTTTCTATTTTAGGTTTGGGTTAATCACGTTGACCTTTTTCAGTTCAGTAATTTCTTCCTTGTGGAGTATGTTCACGAGCCAGTCATATGCATTTATTTGTTCCCATATTTTTTATTTCTACCGTTTTTATTTGACTTTCTAACATTCCTGGTGTGCTTGTGCGGCATCGGGCCACCTCCCAGTCTCCTTGTGTGGCCTGCTCTGGCTCTTGGCCGTGTGCTCAGACTCCTGAGCAGAACCCCTCAGCTGCAGCACCTCTGCCGCTTTGGACCAAATGACTCTCTGTGCAGGATCATCCTGTTTGTAGTCGGATGTTTAGCAGCATCTCCTTTCCTGCTTGTGACAACTGTAAATGTCCACGATGTTGTTAGATGTCAGCTTGACTGCGTGTCAGTCTCAGAATTCCTGCTGTTTGTCCATGCTGGCTCTTGACGCTGGTTCTCCCGGTCTCCCTCCCCTGGGACGGCCACTTTGACCTCTTTGAAATTTTCCTTGTATTTTAAATTTTTTTCCCATAGTTTTACATAACCCACTTTTCTGCTGTCATTTCTTGACTGTCTGCGTAAGAGATCCTGCCTGTTGGTTTCTGACTGTGGCGGAGGTGCTCTCCTTTCTCATTACCTCACCTGCAGTTTGCATTCTGTCTTCATTTTTGGTTAAAACTGTATTTGTGGTTTTCATAACACACTATGGAAATGCTCACAGCTGAGCCAGTGGCATGCTTGGATTACATTTCTTCTGCTAAACAGCTTTTTATTTTCCTGAGTTAATGATTTTCTCATTTTCTATTTTCTGTGTACCTATTACAAATTCAGTCCTAGACTGATGGGATTGCACATTTCTGTAGGCATTTTCAGCGCATCAAGTCTGTCTGGGTCACAACTTTCTCGTCTTGGTTGTACATTAACCGTCAGTGGCTTCTCGCGGAAGGTTGCTGGGGGTTAAATATCGGAGACTTTGTACTCTGGAAGTGCTTCCTGTCAGTCAGAGCTCCGTGTTGGACACGTTTCCTTCTTATGTTGGGATTGCTCTTTGTCCTGTTGTTGCGTGGTGCTCGCCGCACGGCTGGGCTGCTTCCTCCTTGGCGTCCCGCTGCCTGGCCGGGAGCACGCCGGTGCCCGGCCGCCGCCGCCCCGCACACAGGCAGGGACGGGCGCATCCTTCCAGTTGGTGTACCCTTGCCTTCTCTCCGTTTTACCTTTATTTTAGGTCCCCTAGATGGAGCCTCCAGTTTTCTTCTCCATTTTCCAAATTTTTGTCTGTTTGCTTCACTTTCAGAAAATTCCCCATCTTTCTTCCAGCACTTCTGTGGGGATTTCCCTTTCTTCCACCTTAATTCTAATTCTTGAGAGCTCATTTTTCCTTGAGCAGGCATGTCTTCCTTGTAGCCTCCCGTTCCAGTGTGGGAATGGCCACGAAGTCTGTTTCTTTAGGGGCACTGGTGACAGTTTCCTACACACTCTCCTGCCCTAGCTTGTGCTCCTCAGACGGCTTCTGATTTCCGCTTGGTAGCTTTAGTCTCTGTGCTTTGTCTTTGCTTCTCCCACTGGAGCACACGTTGGTCAGGGAAGGTGGGTCTGCACCTTGCTGTTCGCTGAGTCTGCGTCACTTGGGGGGGGGGCCACCGTCGGCTGAGCAGTTGCAGGGCAGGTCATGGGGCACCTGCTCAGAGGCCCGAGGCCGCTGTGGGTGCACCTGAGTCACACTCGCCCACTGTCTGCAACTAACCTTAGCCCTTTGTCTGGTGTTTCGCTCTGGCTGCCCTGCCCACTTGCGGGGCTCCGTGGATTCGCAGGACGTCCCACTGCTGGCCCACGACGTCCTTCCTGTCTGGCCTGGTGTATGTCCACTTGTCCTCCGTGCCTGCCCTACGCCCCGGCTTGCCCTGGCTGTTTCCTCGATTCGCCCAGTTAACCACCCGTGGCGGACCCTCTGACACTGCACGCGGCCACCTGTCGGGCTCACTGTTCCGTTCCGGCGGACTCGCAGAGGACGGAGCCCCCAGAGTCCGCTCGGACTCGCATCCTCCCCTCCCCCAGCCCCTGACGGCTCTGCTGCTGACCCTGGTCTTGTGTGATTACAGCTGGGCAGGTGCACCAACAACGTGGTCAAGCATGAGCTAATGCGCCCGTCCAGCAAAGCCCCGCTCTTGGTGCTCTGTGAAGACCACCGGGGCCGGATGGTGAAGCACCAGTGCTGTCCCGGGTGTGGCTACTTCTGCACAGCGGTAAGTGCTCAGTGCGCCGTGCGGGGCCCCGGCTCAGCCGGCTCGTGCCTGTGCTCCCTCCCTCCCTCCCTCCCTCCCCTGGCTGATCCTGTAGCAGACACCTCCCAGCAGCGCCCTGGCCTGGGGCCCGCCTGGAGGCCCCCGCCCACAGTACGCTCTCCTCTTGCTTCGTGTGAGCCTGTGGCCTCCCGGGGACAGCTGGGACGCAGGGGCAGGCGCCTCAGCCCTCCTCCTCCTCCTCGCTGTGTCTGACACACGGCGGCCTTGCTCCTGGGCAGGGCCTGCCTGCCTCCTCTTCGCTTTGCTGTCGTCTCTTGGTTTTAGGGTCTTCTCTGTCAGTTACTTCATTCCACACATACCCACGCCTAGGGTGCCCGTCAGAACGCGGGGATCCCTGCAGTTCGCTTGGCCCACGGCTGAGCAACCACGTGGGTCAGGAGCCTCTCTGCAGTGGCTGCTCTTGGGATTTCACCTGTGTGCCCTTCGTTGTCTTCCACATCCTTGTTGCTTCTCCTGGAGAAGAGGGAGACTGCTTCTCTGGGTCCAGTGACCCTTAGCTCGCAGCAAGGGCGCGCTACTCTCACTGCTTCTCGTCGTGCTGGGGGTTTACGTCCTTGGTGCTGCCGGCGAGTCCTTTTCTGAGGCCATTGGGTTTGCCTGAAGTGCCCCCTGGCGATGCTGGGTCACCCCTGCGGAACGCTGTCCCCCCTTTCTGTTCCGAGTCTCTTTCCTGGATTGTCCTCTGGGGGTCCTTCTTGGGACCTGGTTTTCTGTGCAGTCTCTTCTCGGGTGAGAACAGCCGGAGAGTGAGGCCTTGGCCTCCTGGGGTGTGGGGGGCAGTCATGTGGCTTCTCCCCACTTGGCTCACTCTCTCTAGAGCAGCGGTGGAGCAGGGTGGGGGTCGTCTGGGTGGCTCGTGGCTTCAGCTCAGGTCACGATCTCAGGGTTGTGGGATTGAACCCCAATCAGGCTCCGCACTCGGTGTGGATTCTGCTTGAGAGTCTCTCCCTCTCCCTCTGACCCTCCTGCTCTTGCTTGCTGTCTCTCTCTCAAATAAATAAATCTTCAAAAAACAAAAACAAAAAACAAAGCAGGGGCACGTGTGGACACACCACAGACATAGGACATGGGTCTCCTGCTTACCTGGCCAGGGACTGGGAGCCCCGACTGGCCTCTGGGCCCCCGGCCCCCACACCACCCTCACAGGCAGGTTCAGTAGCACTTCGTTTACTTTCATGCATGTTAGCCGTAATTTTAAACAGTGATTTCTAGTCTTCCCGTTTTCAGGGTAATTTTATGGAGTGTCAGCCTGAGAGCAGCATCTCTCACCGCTTTCACAAAGACTGTGCCTCTCGAGTCAATAATGCCAGCTACTGTCCCCACTGTGGGGAGGAGATCTCCAAGGCCAAAGAGGTGACCATCGCAAAAGCGGACACGACCTCCACCGTGACGCTGGCCCCCGGGCAGGACAAGAGCTCCTTGGTGGAGGGCAGGGCTGACACGACCACGGGCAGGTATGCGCCCAGTGCAGCCGCGGTCAGCTCCCCCGGAGAGCCGTGTGTCTCTGAGCGCTGACCCCTGCATGTGTGTGTGCACGTGTCCCCTGCGCCTGCAAGAGTGTCTGCACGTCTGTGCACGTCTGTGCCCCCACACAGCCGTGCCTCTGTTGCATGCGAGTATAATACGAAAACTCCAGCTTGTGCAGTCAGTCATGTTTTGAAGGCCCTGGCTAAACGAAAAAAGAATTTTGTTAAGGGAAGGGTTCATGTTGGGAATATATAACGTAATAAATATCATACTGATAGAAAAGTAATACTTCATCGAAGGCTGTTGAAAAGAGCCTTGAATTGTAGACGTATCAAACTGAATATTGGGAGGAGGCCGAATCCTTCTTGTTCTGTATTAACCCTGCTAATCTATAAATGAATGTAACATGCCTTGAATCAGGTTTCCGGGAGGATTTCCTCCCACTGGCAAGAGCAGTGGGTTTGATAGCTCCAACTGGGAAGTTCATTCACAAAAGCAAACGTGAACGTGGTCCTGGAAACCCTGGAAAAGTTGCCCTTTTGCTTTGAATGTCACTTTCTTCCTGGGAATTTGCCCTGAACTGGACTTTGATCCAAGGACTGAACAGAGAGCGAGTCTGGAGCTGTTTTCACGCTCAGCTGGAAGGGTCCAAGTGAATCATGTTCTGTGTTTTCGTTGGTCTCCACAAGAAGTGGAGTTTTTCACGTGTCTACAATTCAGCATATCATTTGTTTCCTACCCCTGAAGCACTGCTGGACCACCGCTCTTGGAGGACGGCAAGCCGCAGGGCACAGCCCCCCAGGCAGCCGAGGGCTTCGACCTCACGGGGCCTGCCGGGCTGGTGAAGCCGGCCCCCGGCCTTTCCCAGGGACCAGGGAAGGAGACCTTGGAAAGTGCTCTGATCGCTCTGGACTCGGAAAAGTAAGAACCAGTCTGCGTTTTCAGACGTGGCTCAGGGCCTGGCCCACTGACATCTGCCCATCTGGACATTCCTTCCTGCAGATTTCTCTTCCCTCCGTGTCAGCCACTGGGCCGTTTGCGCCCGTGCGTCTGGAAACCCCCCAGTGCTTCCAATGCCGCCATGGTCGCACTTCCTAAGAGTCTGCACCCCGTGCGGCACCCCCTGAGGGTCACTGGGCTCCCCAACAGAGTCACGGTGCATTCCCAAGAAGGTCACTGTAACGTTCTTCAGCTTTTTGATAAATGGTTTCATCAGGACAATTCACGTATTTTTACACTGTTTCGGGAAATTATTGCAAGTTGTCCATTACACTAAGAGCAGAAGATGACTTCTTTGAAGTCATAAGTGAGGACAGTCCTTGTGAGGCTTTTACAGACATTTCCCTTGGATATTGTTGACCCCCTGGTGTTGACTTCAGGACATAAGAGCAAATGCCACTTGGCTCATTCCTCATCTGTGAAATGAAGGGTTGGATCAAGTGGCTGTTTAGGCTCACCTGCCAACTCTCAGATAGTGCAGCCCTGCATTAGGGCCCCGAGTCTGTGACCTGTGAGCCAGGCAGGTATCCTCTCCCAGGGAAGCCCACTGGCCTAGTTCACCAGGGCCTCAGGCCAGGCCACATGCCCTCCCTTGGGATAGCACGCCTCTCTGCCGGAAGGGGTGTATGTCATGGTGCTCTCGATTAGGGGAGGCTCAGGTGTTAGGACACGCTGCCCAGTCCCCCATAGTTTCCCTCTGTCAGTCTCCAGCCTCATCTGTGGCCCTGATGTTAGGGTGACTGAGGGTCCCCCTGCCCCGCTCACCAGGCCCAGACCGCATACTGCTGAAGGGGGCGGGCTGGGCCAGGGGTGACCACACTGCCCCTGCCACCTCAGGGCCTCCCCGGACCCCATGCTGCAAAGATGGTTCGCTCTGTTGTCACAGTACACAGAAGCCTCAGGAACCATTCTCCTGCGGTGGATGAAGAAGGTAGTTGCTCGTTTTTGTTGTTTTTTTCCTGTGGGGTGCCTGAGCCTGGTGAGTTTGGCGCCCCTGACCCTGAGGCATCAGCAGGTAGACTTCGCAGGCCTTCCCATCCTGCAGCGTGCTTCTGTGCATCTGCGGCCGTGGCCCGTGGGCTGGGAGCCCGGTGGGGCCACCCGGTGGTCACAGCTGTCCGTGCTTTCCCCGCAGACCCAAGAAGCTTCGCTTCCATCCGAAGCAGCTGTACTTCTCCGCCAGGCAAGGAGAGCTGCAGAAGGTGCTGCTCATGCTGGGTAAGCAGCCGTCACGTCCGCTGGGGCTTGCTGCCTGTCCCTGGGGCCCCAGGGGCCGGTAGTAGTTTGTTACCTTTTCTTAGGAGCTGGGTCTCATTTTTTTCTCTATCTGTCTCTCATTTCTCTGACCTCGGCCCAGTGGTGTTCATCCTGTGCGTGATGTTCATATTCTGTTATTTGTGATAATAGAAATATTTTCTGTGAATCTGTCATTTTAAAAGAGGAATTAGGTGTATGATTAAATTAAGAGAAGATGTAGCTTCGGAAAAAGGAAGATGAGTGAGCTGGGGCCGACTGGGCGCGGCTGGCAGGAGGGCAGGTGCCAGGCCTGTGCTGGTGGAAGCCAGCTGTGGGCAGATCAAGACGCTGTGCACTGACGTCTGTGCGTGCGTCTCAGGGCTGACGCGCCTGCCGGTGCTTTCGGGCCCTTCCCAGCTCTGCTCCGGCCAAGGAACGGGCGGTAATTCGATGCTGAGCTCGCAGCTTGAGGCTTTGTTTCTCTGGGTTCAAAAGAGTGATTAAAAATCCTTCACTTGACAGTCAAAGAAGAAACTCAACGATTTATTCCAAAAATGTCAGTTATGTAATGTTGACCAAAATGGCGGTTTTAGTCGTCTTCCCCCTAGGCTTGGTGGGGTGCTGAGGTTGCCTGGCTGCTCTGTGGCCAGTCTGTCAGCCGATTGTCCGCGTCAGGCCTGCTGGGATCATGTGCAGCAGGTCACGTGTGTGTGAGGCTGCCCAGTGGGCCTGTTGTCCTTGAGCTTAGCAGGTGCCCCCGGCCTGGAGGGAAGGCTGAGAGCAGGAGTGCTTGAAAATACAGAAGGAACCCCAGAGAAACTCTGGGAGCCCTTGAGTTAGACAAGGGCAGTGAGTGAAGGGATTCATGTTGTTAGGTGGTTCCTGGCAATAGACCCACATGGTGAATTTTGTGTGAAGCTAGCGTACTTCTTTTGAGTCTTCCAGCGTGTTTGGAGCCTGGCTTCACTGTTACCTAGACTCGGGATGGTGTTGTGTGATGCTGGTTCTCGGTGGTCGTCCACATGTGCTTTTATCAGCCTTTGTGACCACCCTAAAGTGGTGGGAACCAGAGGCTGCTTCCGAGATAATCGGTGAAACCTTTTTGTTGACAGTTGACGGGATCGACCCCAACTTCAAGATGGAACACCAGAGCAAGCGCTCCCCGCTGCACGCCGCCGCGGAGGCCGGCCACGTGGACATCTGCCACATGCTGATTCAGGTCGGACGCACGGCTTCCCACAGAGCCCTCCACCCACTCCCTCCTGTCTTTATTGAGTGAAATAAAACGGGATTCATAGTTTAGAGAGCTAGAAAGTGCAGCACTTCCTGGCTCCAAGAGAAAACCAGCGTTTCTGTCCCCCGAGTCCTGGCCCTGATGTCAGTCCAGCAGCCGCTTCTCCGGCTCTTTCTGGACTTGTCGTCTTTGTTCCCGTTCTGCATTCGGGTTTCAGTATTCATTACTCACTTTGGAGCGTGGAAAGGCTTGGCTCACATACCACCCCCCCACCCCACCCCAGTCCTCCCCATTTGATCATGTCCCCTTGTTGCTGAGATCAGTGGGAGCCCTTGTGGGCCGTGGCGCATACGAGAGCCGTAATTGTCAGGTGCTCCCGTTGTCTCTTGGCCTCCTGCTGATTCATCCCTAGCCCTCCGAACAGACCGCCTCCTGTCTCTGTGTCACCTGGAAGCCCTGTTGCTTGCTCCCATGTCCTCTTTCTCTGGGCCACCCCTTCCCTGACCCTGGCCCTGTGTTGGGTCCCCTGTCTGCTGGAGACCACATTTTCAGTCTGATCCTTCATCTCCGACGCTTCAGGAAATTTCCTTCGGTCCACTGGTCTGAAATCCCACTGCGGTGCAGTGGTCTTTTGACTCCTTTGGGGCATCTGGTGTGTCCTTTCAGTGTAGACATTCCTGTCCCTTGTTCTGGGGTTTCTGGATGCCACCTTCCCATCTGCCCTCTGGAGCCCCCGTTCATGTTAGGCCTTATGGACTCATCTCTGGTCTTCGCTTCCTGCCGTGCACCTGCTCTTCATTTCCCGTTCCACTTGCTGGGCAGTGTTCTTGACCTCACCGTCCAGCTCCTCTGGGGAATTTTAATCTGTGCAGTCACATCTCGAGGTCCAGAGTCCTTGCTTGCTCCCTGAGAGTTCCTTTTTTGTACCTCTGCTCTTCCCTTGTTCCTTTGAAGGTATTACAGTAATTTTGAAGTTTTATGCTGCTCTGTTCGTTTTGGTCTTTCTTTTTTAAAGGTTTTCCTCAGATGCCTGATGATTCCTGTTTGTTCACATCTGAAGTACTAAAATGCTGGTGGGGGGGTCCCGGCCTTGTCCCTTTCAGGTGCCCGCAGACACTGCTGGCTGGAGAGGGGCGCATGTGGGCTGTCTCCTCCTTGCGCCTCTGTGGGAGCCAGAGTGCCGGCGGCCAGAGTGCCGGGGCTGCTCCCCTCCCTCAGCCTCGCGCGTGTGTCTTCTGTCTTGACGCCACAGCTTCTGCTGGTGTGTCCCCACTCACCTGCTTTCTTGTTGTTCTGACCGGTGCTGATGGAAGCAGCAGTGTGGGCGGAGCAGTTCGCAGTCGCGTCGACGTGTGCGTGCGTCTCTTTTACAGTAGACACACCTGTTAGTGAAGATTTCTAGCTCCCCCTCGTGCCAAAGAGCCTCTGATTTGGATGTGTCTTGTTAAGTAGCATGTTGCTAGATTTTTTAAAAGCTCAGTCTGATAACCGTGGTATTTTAATAGGAACTTTTAGTCTAGATAATGTTTACTGTAATTTCTGTCATTTAAATATATTTCTGATGTTTTATTTTGTTGTTTTGATTCTTAGTTCTTTCAAACAGACATGTTTTTTTTTAATCTCCTTTGTTGCTTTCTTTTGGGTTGATATTTGCTTCAATCATCTCATTTCCTTTCTCTTTACTCACGTGGAGGCTGTAGACTCTTCTTTCTTGCCTCCAGAGGTCACTCTGTGATCTGGTGTGCAGGTGTTATGTCCTCCGTCTTTAGACAGGCAAGATGAGGGAGCTGCAGACGCCAAGTTGGGGGGAGAAGGCCTTGCACTGGATTGGTGAGCTTGAGCCATTTCGGTGGGGAGGCCCATGGAGGCCTCAGGTGCGAGTTCAAGGAGAAGCCTGGCAGGACTCAGGGGCAGCCGAGAGGGCTGCTCAGAGTGGTCCTCCTGTAGGGGATGGTTCTTGGCGGTGACTGTGGTGGGTGGCTGATCTGACGGAGAATGAGCTCATTGGAGAGAGGTCAAGGGCAGCGGGCATGGTCATCGAAGCAGTGACCACGGGTGCTAGTGCTCTGAGGGGTGAGGGCTGGGGGTCAGCACTCCAGGGGGACCGTTGTCTTGTCCCCGTTGCGAGGAGGGCATGGACGTGGTTTGTGCTTTTGTGAGGGTGGACTGGAGGCCCAGTGCTGTGTGGGACTGTTGCAGGACAGGGGCGAGGCAGGAGGTGGGGCAGGGTCGCCCTGATGGTCCTGTGGGCTGTGTTGGGTGAGGGGCTGCCCAGGCTCCTCCTCATCTCAGCTGCCAGTGTGGGGGCTTCTTGGGAGACGTTGCTGGTTGTTTTCTTTCACTTTGTTTAAGGAATGATTCCACTGTCTTCCAGCTTCTGTGCTTTCTTTTGGGAAGTTAGCTTTGAAAGGGCTTGTTTTTCTCTTTGGTCTTTTTTTTTTTTTTTTTTTTTTTTTTTTACCGTTAAAGTGTGTGTGTGTCTAAGATGCATACAGAAAAGTTCTTAACATGTGAACGTCCTGTTAATAAATAATCGTGAAGGGCACCCACCTCAGCCCAGGTCAGGACACAGCCCTGCCCACCCCCGCTGGAGGGGATGGCTCTCCAGGCTCTCACAGCCTCGGTCTCTGCATCTCTCTGGTTTGATCACCATGTGGCTTACCTGTGTCTGCCTCCCCTCTCTATGCTCATCGAGTCACGCGGTAGGAATTCTAGTGTGTCTTCTTTTCAGTCCAAGAGCAGAAACCCTACTCATGCCTGTGAGCACGGGGGTGGGGGGCAGTGTGCCTGTGCTCTGGTCTGGTCCTGCCCCTCCTGCCCTCGTGTGAGGCACCGTCCTGGGAAAGCCGAGAGCTCAGGAGCTCTTGCCGTTCTGCAGCTTCTCTGTGTCTTAAACTGTTGCAAAATAAAATGTGACTTACTGGGGAAATCAGCCCTTTCTAGTGTTCTCTGTGACCCTCTGTGCTGACCTGATGTCGATGGCCCAGGCTGCTCACTCCCTGAGCTTGGGAGCCTGTGATTATGAGTATTTTTCTTCTTTTAGAACCTGAGCTGCTTTCCTGAGATTCCCCAGGAAAGAGGTGCGGTAGGTTTTTCTAGTTTTCCCTGAATCCAAGGGCGTTGTTTCTAGGAGGTTCAGCTTTGGTGGGTTGTCTCTCACCCCACACCGTCCACTAGGCAGGCTCTGGCTCTGCACCCTCTCCCCAGCCCCAAAGCGGCACTGAAGCTGCTGACCTGGGGTTGCTAGCCCGCACTCTTCTGGGTTCCTGTGCTCTCGGGGTTTGAGGAACGTTCCCTCGCAGCCAGAAGCGCCTGTGAAGAGCAGTTTTGAGATCTTTCCATCCTGTTTAACTTTCATCCTGAGGCCTCACTGGAAATAGCTCTTGTTTCGTTCGGGCCCTGGCCCGCTGCCACACGTGGCCGTTTGGATTTAAATGACAAAATTAAACGGAAGGAAGTATGTACTCCTTAGGCACTGAGCGGCGTTCCCCATGCTCAGGGGCTGTGTGGGCAGGGTGCTCTGCTGGTCTCAGATGCAGATGCAGCACATCCAGCTCCAGCAGTTCATGCCGGCCTTTGGCCAGCCCCGGGGACATCCGCGGTGTGAGCATCCCTGCCACTGGTCATTCATGACAGCTGCCCTGGGTCCAGATGCAGGTCACCTCCCTCTGCTCCCCAACTCTAGGGTGCCCCGTTGCCTTGTCCTCCTTGTGTGAGTGTTGCCGTCTGTCGGGAGCCTGTGAGGTGTTTCCTAACAGAGAAAGGTGTATGTTCTGTTAGTCACAGAGCCCAGAGGAGAGGGACAGAGCCACACCTGTTGCACTGACCTCTGAGCTCGAGGACCTGCCGTGGACTGCAGACACCTCACGCGGTGCATGCACCCACCTTGCACACCCACATGGGTCTTGCACACTCTGCATGGTCACACAGGGAGGTTTTGGGGAACGTGTGGGGGTTGGGGCCTGCCTGGTGTCCAGCACTTGGGCTGTGGTGTGTCTGTCCTGGAGTCTGTGCTAAGTCCATCCTGCTGGACGAACTGGGACTTTTCCCTTAAGACCCACTTTCCTGTTCTCACCATTCTCTCTGGTGGGAATCCCATCAGTCACGTGGGGACCTCCTGGTTTGACTTGCTCTCCTCTGTCTTCTCCCCTGGCTCAGGATTCTCAGGGATTCTTTGGCTTTGTCTCTCAGTCTTCCCTACCTTTTCCTGGTGACGATCACTTTCTTCTGGGCCAACTTTTGTGGTGTCAGTTCTGGTTTGTCTGTGTGTCCCTATGAGGGCCTCTGTCACTTGTTGCCCCTGATTTCGGATGGGCACACTGGGAATCAGTCGTGGGTCCTCAGGGCCTGGTCTGACCCTGGTCTAAGTGAAGGTCAGGGGCCTGGTCCTCTGACCCCTGACCTTCTGTTAGTGCCTGGTCTTCAGCTCTGCCTGTGGTCCCCAGCCCCATCCTGCCCTCTGAAATTTGCCAGAAGACGTTCAGGGTTCCCCAAACCACCTCAGTCCCCTGGTTTCCCTGTGTACCACTCTGGATCTATTTAAAAATCTTTTAACTCATTTTGTTCCTTTTGTTTTTAACTACAAACAGTAAAAACAATACTATTCTCAGCCTTTTCCTGATAAATACTTATTTTATAAACTAAATACTAGCTTGTGGTACATCAGTTTAAGAAATTGGGCGGTTTTACCCCCACGGGGAAAGGGTTTTAATTGTGAGACATCCAGTTTGCTTTTAGCACACAGCACGTTTCAAAGTTGGACCTTCTTCTTAAGTTTCAAACAGACTGAAGTTTATCTAAGCATACTTGCTAGACCATTAGTTTTCCAAGTACATAGTCTATTGGAAGAATTAGAAATTGCTTCAAAATGCATAATATTGGGAATCAGCTTTTATTCTGTTTATTTTGGGAAGCATTAAGACAGCCAGAGAAAGAGGTCACTGAGTCAGGATGTCCCTGTGGTCACTGAAGGCCAGGTCACTGCCCGCCTTCTGGCCCAGCCTTGCTGAGCAGCCCCCTCCACGTCCCTCTTTGCCTGCTTTATTTTATTTTATTTTTAAAAGATTTTATTTATTTTTGAGAGAGCGTGCACACACAAATGGGGGGAGAGGCGGAGGGAGCAGCAGACTCGCCCCTGAGCAAGGAGCCCGATGCGGGACTCTGAGCGGAAGGCAGACGCTTAACTGGCTGAGCCACCCAGGTGCCCCCTCCTTTTCCTGCTTTAGAAGGTTATCACTTCTCATTTCTGAAGGTACTGTCACTAATGTGCTGTGAACATTCTCTGTCAAGAAAATGCTCTTCTTGAGCTGAAGGTTTGATGCTAGTAGAGCAATCGTGTCCTTGATTTCAGTTCTGAAGACTCAGTTACATCATTAGAAATGCTGTTAGCACAGCTTGCGAGATCTTTCAGCTCGCAAGTGTCTGAAGTGTCTGAATGCCAGGTGGGGGCTGCAGTGGGAGCTCTCTACGCACCTGAACTGTCCGGTTCCACTAGGCGGGCGCGAATATTGACACCTGCTCAGAAGACCAGAGAACCCCACTGATGGAAGCAGCAGAAAATAACCATTTAGATGCCGTGAAGTACCTCATCAAGGCCGGGGCCCTCGTGGATCCTAAGGTACGCATTCCTGTTGTGTGTAGAAATGTTTCAGAAAGATGAGCAGGGGCCAGTTCCTTGTTGGAACGTCTTTAGGAATTGGTAGCCATCAAACATCCACTTATTTGTCTGGCAGTAGTTATTAGGTCACCTTGCTTGGTTACCAGCTTATTTGAGAAAATACTAGTGAACACTGGATCTCCTGCGCCTCACAATAGACAAAGCCGCGAATGAGGAGTTTGCCATGCAGAGGTCTCTAGCTTCCTTCATTTTGGATGCTTTCCCTCTTCTGACTTCCACTTGGAGCAATTAGCCACCCCCCCAAAAAAAGCATCCAGATTGGGAAAGAAGTAAGATGAGCTCTGTTCATAAATGGTATGATTTTATATGTGGAAAATCCTAAAGAATCCACACACAAAAATCTAGAACTGACAAATACATGCAGAAAAGTTGTGAGATACAAAATACAGAAGCATCAGTTGTGTCTCTGTACACTTGAGATGAATATCCAGAAAGGAAATTAAGAACTCCATTTATGAAGTCAAGAAGAGCAAAGTGTAAGGAATGAACGTAACCAAGGAGACAAAAGACTTGTACCCCGAAAACCACAAAACATTGCTGGAAGAGGTGAAAGAAGACCTAAGTATGTGGAAACGCGTCCCGTGTGCATGGGTTGGAAGACTGAACATTGTTGAAGCGCCTGGACACCCAGGGCGAACCACAGAGTCAGTGCGATCCCTGTCAAAATCCCAATGCCATTTTTTACAGACACAGAAAAACCAATCCTGACATTCATACGGATCTCAGGCACCCTGAACAGCAAAAGAGTCTTGCAGAAGGACAGAGCTGGAGGCCTCACGCCTCCTGACTTCCAGACCTACTACAAAGCTACAGCAATCAACACAGCGCGGTGCCGACATGAAGAGAGAAGGGCCTGGGACAGAAGGGCCCAGAAACGGACCCTCACCGGTCTAAAATGGTTCTCGGCAGGGTGCCAAGATCATTCAGTGGGAGGAAAGGGCAGTCTTTTTAACAAATGGTGCCGGGAAAATGGGATCTCCACATGTCAAAGAATGCAGTTGGGCCCTTACTTCACACCGTATTTAGATATTTACTCAAAATGGATCAAAGACCTAAACGTAACAGATAAAAACATAAATCTATTAGAAGAAAAGGTAGAGTAAGATCTTCATGACATTCATTGGGTCTGACAATGATGTCTTGGATATAACACCAATAGCACAGATAATAAAATAGGTAAACTTAATCAAAAATAAAAACTTTAATGTGTCAGAGGACACTAAGAGTGTGAAGAGACAACCCACGGAATGGCAGAAATAGTCATAAATCCTGATGGGGGTTTCCTATCCAGAATATATAAAGAACTCCTACCACTCAGTAACACAAATCCAACCCAATTCAAAAGTGGGCAAAGACTTTGAATAGACATTTCTCCAGAGAAGATCTATAAATGGCCAATTAGCACATGAAAAGATGCTCAGTATCACCAGTCATCAGGGAAATGCAAATCAAAACCCCAGTGAGATGTCACCTACCCTTGGGGCAACAGTTACCTCAAAATGGAAAGTAAGTGCTAACAAGGATGTAGAGAAATTGGAACCCTCATGCATTGCTGGTGGGAATGTGAAATGATGCAGCTTCTGTGGAAAACAGTTCGGTGGTTCCTCAAAAAGTTAAACCTAGAACTACCATGTGATCCAGCAATTCTAATCCTGGGTATTTACCCAAAGAAACTGAAGGTAGGGGCATGAATGGGTATTTACACTCCCATGTTCTCAGCAGCCTTGTCCACAAAGCAGGAAGGTGGAAACAGCCCAAGTGTCCACCCACAGAAGGACAGATTAGCAAAAAATGGCCTGTGCGCATTACGGGGCATCACTCAGCCTTAAACGAGAAGGAAGACCCAGCACAGGGAGGTGCTGAGTGAGACAAGCCTGTCCCAGAAGGACGCGTCCTGTAGGGTCCACTCTTGTGAGGACTCCGAGTCGTCAGATTGAGAGGCTGCAAGTGGGTTAAATAAAGGTTTTGGGGGCTGGGGCGCGGTGGGCATCCCTGCTTAGTGGGCACTGTGCTTCTGGTTAGGGTCGGTGGTGAGGGCCCCATGGCAGTGTGAATGGGATCACTGCCACCAAATTGTACCCTTGAAAATGGCCACAATGGCAAATCTTACGTTATATACGTATGTATATATAAATTACAGTAAAAATATGAAAATTATCTTGTAGTTTTTCACATTAATACACATCTTCCCAAAAACTTACACTGTTGATAGTCATTTATCAACTTCCTTTTTTTCATCAAATTATCACTGTTTTTCTATTAAACATTGTTTTATAACATTATTTGAGGTGGCTGCATTGTATTTCATGATGCAGTGGTATCACTTTTAGTCAAATTTGCTTATTGCTTAATATTTTTGTTTTCAATTTTTTAAAGATTTATTTATTTATTTTCAGAGGGAGAGTGTGAGCATGTGGGCAGGGGGAGGGGCAGAGGGAGAGAATCTTTCAAGCAGACTTCCTGCTGAATGCAGAACCCAACATGGGGCTTGATCCCACGACCCTGAGATGTGACCTGAGCCGAAACTGAGAGTTGGACGCTTAACTGACTGAGCCACTCTGGCACCCCTGTTTTCAGTTATCATTATACACACTGCTCCAGTTAACATTTTTTTAGCTAAGTTTATGCACATTTGATTTCTTTAGGACATATTTCTGGGTGTGGAATTGTTAGATTGAAATATTGAGGGTTTTTATATCTCTTCCTGAAGTACACCAAGAGTGTCTGAGCACTCACTTCCATCTGCTCTTACCAGTGGCGACTATGATAAGTTTTTAAAGAAATACTAACGGGAGCGCCTGGGTGGCTCAGTCGGTGAAGCATCTGCCTTCGGCTCAGGTCATGATCCCGGGGTCCTGGGATTGAGTCCCATGTTGGGCTCTCTGCTCAGCGGGGAGTCTGCTTCTCCCTCTCCCACTCTGCCTGCTTGTACCGCCCCCCGCCCCCCCGTGTCAAATAAATAAAATCTTTAAAAAAAACCAACCTTTTAAAAAATATTAACAGTTTGATAGGCAAAAATGGTTATTTATTTATTTGCTTTTTTACTATTTAGCTTGTCTTAAAGTGAACGCTTTTTGGTATATAGTTATTTATATGTGGTATGAATATTTTTTCAAGCTTTAGTGTTTTGCTTTATTTTTGGTGTTTATTATAATCTGGAAACCTTTAATTGTTTTATAAATGTCCATAGATAACTATTACTAATCTTCTCCATTATGACGGGTGGATGAGTCCCACGCATTTACCCCATTCTCTGCCAAGGCACGGATACCCAGTCTCGCTGCAGGAGCCCATGCCCAAGCTGAGCACCACTGCAGACGCAAGAGGTTAGTGTGCAGGGCTTCACGGAAGCACCTGGAACCTGCAGACAAAGGACCGGAGCACTTCCAGTGGCTTGAGGGGAGCAGACGTCGAAGCGGACGGACGGCTCATGGATGAGCTTAGCTGTAGATAGGGTGCAGTAGAAGAAAATGGCCACTGCAACTGAAGACTGCTCATTGAAATTACTCAGTCTGAAAAACAGCTTTTAGGACAGTTTCCAACTGATGTGTAATTGGAGTTCCCAGAAACAGGGGAGAAAGAATCTGATAGAAAATAAATATTGGAAAAAAAAGTAGTCCTAAGCTTCCCAGATTTGGTAAGATAGCAATCTGTAGATCCAAGAAACTAAGCCAACCCCAAACTAGATAAATACAAAGAACACACACTGTTGAAAACTGAAAACAAAGAAAATCTTAGAAGCAGCCAAAGAATGACACATGACATGTAGGCAAACAGCATTACAAAAAAATCACCAACTTCTCATCTGAAACGATGGGGAAAGAAAACTCAAAAAAATTGTCAACCCAGAAGGCTGCATCTGGTAAAAGTGTCCCCCCCCCCCAAAAAAAAATAATTGTGGAATAAAACACTTTCAAGTGAACAAAAGGTGGTAGAGTTTATTGATACATTTGCCCGAACAGGGATGGAAACTCTGCCTGAGAGTCTGCCCAGGAATAGCACCTGGGAAAGACCATTGTTTTCTTTAAATTTCCTAAAAGACAAAAGGCTGTTTAAAGCCGAAATATTTTTACAGGGTGGAGTTCATACCAATTTAGAAGTAAAACTTCTAAACATGTGTCCCCAACAGCATGGGGCAGGAGCCACGAATGAAATCCTACTGTTGTCAGGCTGTCTTATTTCTGTTGTGGGAGGCGGTAAACATCAGTCCAAGTAGACTGATTAGGGGAATGTCATTGCCCCCAGAGGAAGTACAAAGAAAATAATTTAAAAGAAATACAGCTTTAAGGACAGTTTAAGTCTAGTGGAGGAAGTGAAGTGGAGCAGTAAGCAGTATTTGTAGAACCACAGGCAGGAAAAGAGGATAGAAGCCGAGGGAACGAGGAGCCCCAGCCCCCACCCCCCACCCCCTGTCCATAGGGGCAGCACCTGTGAGGACTGAGCACACCACAGACAGTTGTGTGCTTCCGCAGGGGCTCACGTTGAATGGACAAACAGATGGAAGCAGAAAGGATGGAGAACACGTGTCGTGCAATAGTAAACTTTTAGAAGAGGGAAGACTATCTTTGTGATTCCAGCATAGGGAGAGATTTCTTCAGGAAAACACAGAAAAGTGCAAAAGTGATTGGTAAAGTCGAGTTCATTGGAATTAAGAAATTCTGGTCAACAAAATGTCACAAAGTTCACAAAAGGCAGGCTACACGCTGCCAGAAGATATTGCAATATACTGGCAAAGGATTAATATCCAAAAAATAAGGAAGTCCTACAAACAAAAGAGCTCAAAAGAAAAATGGGCAAAGAATGAACGGGCAGTCCCCGGAAGGGGAAGTCTGAGGAACCAGCAAACGCAGGGAAGGTGCTCAGCCTTTTGAAAACCACCCTGAGACACCACTGTGTAGCCGTTGGATTTGGCGGTGCTCAAAGGTTGGACTGCTCAGAGGAGCCATAGCATGGCCCGCGTCGCTGCCGCTGGGCCCCCACCCCCAAGAGGAGATGCCCCTGTTCAGCTCTGGGGTGTGTGAACGGGCAGGTTTTGCGATACTCAGTGCAAAGTCATTCAACTGAGAAACTTGAAAATAAGGCCAGCCTTTACACCAACAATCATACATTTTTGTATTTATCATACAATTAAAAATTTAAACACCAGTAATATGGGGTTTGAGTGTGTGGGTTTTCTTGAGAAAAGCGGGTTACTAACTTCAGGCTTGGTAAGAAATCTGTTTTAACGGTGTGTGTGTGAAAGTCTCGGATTACTGCTTAGAAGGTCAGAAGGAGGGAGAAAGGGACTGAGGAAACATGGTCAGTACAGACAGGAGCAGGGGGGAAGGCAAAGAGAGACCCTGTAAGGAGAAAATGGTGGAAATGTGTCCGCACAGGTCCCTGAGGCGCATGCCCAGGAAGAGTCCATCTGTGCAGGATGCAGGCTCTCAGGTTGGCCCTGAGCCTGGCCCTGTGAACTGGGGCACACATGGTCCCCTAGCCCTCCCAGGACCCCCAAGTCTCTCCTGGAGCTTTCTGGATCTGACTTCCACAGTGGAGGGTGGCTTTTGTTTTGTTTTGAGGTCCTTCAGTCAGTGGGATAGATTTAGCTTGCTTGAGGAAGTAGAGCTGAAAGCTAACGGGGAGATGCGCCTGCAGCCCCAGGAGGCAAACTCAGGCAGGCAGCCGCCCTGACGTGCGTCGGACTGCAGGGCAAGCATGCCCCCACTCTGGGCCCCTGCTCTTCTCTGCCATTTATTGTTTTTAATTCTGTGGCGTATGGATAACGATTACGGAATTATTAGCACTCGTCTAAAAATGTCCAATGGCCACCATTGTCTTGTAGAGGTCCCGATGGGTATGGGTGACCCTCTTGTCATGTGAGGAGTGCTGCAGGCGCCTGGCATAGTCCTGGGCGCCACGTTGGAACGGAGGGACAGGGCACAGCCCCTGGCCCTGTTGAGGAGCCCGGGGCCTGCCTCGGCCTGTCTGGACCGTGGGAGAAAGGAAGGGATAGGCGGTTGACATGATGTACGTGCAGGTGTGTCTTAAAACTTGAAGACTCCTTGCCACCTGAGGCCCCGTTGGTGTCAGGAGCTTGGAGTCTGGAGCCCGGCGGACGGGGCTTGGACCCCAGTTGTAGGACCTCTGAAAATAACCCTGCCTTTCTCTGCCTGGGTTCCTTCTCCTTCTCGAAGGAACCTCCCTCATGTGGGGAGTGAACGTTCACGTGGTCATGTGCTCAGGGTCGTGCTGTAGGTCATGTGATTTCTCTGGAAATTGTGTTGCAGGATGCAGAGGGCTCCACCTGTCTGCACCTCGCTGCCAAGAAGGGTCACTATGATGTAGTTCAGTATCTGCTTTCAAATGGACAGATGGACGTCAACTGTCAGGTAAAGCCACACCCTGCACTTACGGACACTCACCTGGCTGGCTGGTCAGTGACCCTGTTCTCCTTTGTAGCAGTCCTGGCCCCAGCCCATTCTCCGCAGCCCCTCTTGCAAGGCCTTGGAAGGCCTGGCCTCACCCACCCTGGCTGAACACTGGCCCCTCTAAAAGCCCACACCTGTGACGGCCTCTACCCTGCTGCCTGGCCGGAGACTTCTCCCACGGCGCCTGCCTGGGCTGCCCCAGCCTCCTGGCCTCGGGGCACATGTCACCACCTGAGTGGGGTCCCTGACCTGTGTGCCAGGTGCCCTCCCTCCTGTGGTACCCCATCTTCCCTCCCAGTGGCTGTCAGGGTTCCAGGGTAGGGTCTTTGTGTGGCATGTAGGCCCTGGCACGAGGAGGTCCCATGTGCATCTAGTAAGTGACTCGGGAGAGCAAGTGAGCACGCTTCCCTCCCACTCGCTGAGACCCAGACCCCTCCCCTCCCATGTGACTCTGGGCCCTGGAAAGCCTGTCTTGGCTCACAGGCTCTGCCCCGTCTTTTCGTCCAGCCATTGCCTCCAACCCGGCACTCTACAAGCCACCCTGACAGAGACCCTCCCCGGTGGCCCAGAAATACAGCTCCCTGCCTTGTGCCGCCTGGCCCACCTTTTGCTCTCACGGGGTCCATGGGCTGGACCCCTCCTGTGTTTCATTTTCCGTCTCCCACTTGGTTCGGTTTTGTATGTTTCTTCCCCTGGGCTGGGCTGGGCTCGGCTCCGCTCCGCTCCCTGAGGCGTGCTTGTCCCTGCTGTGCCCCCAGGGCCCAGGTGGTGCGCACAGCCAGCCTACAGGGATGGCCTGACTACATCGTCTCCCAGAGAGATGTGGCAGCTGAGGGGCGGGTACAGGAAGCTATTGGGGAGGTGTTACGGAGGGTTGAGCTTTCTGCCACCAGACCATGAGTTGGTTAACGTGATACTCATTTCCTGAAGAGTTGCCTTTTTCTGTTTTAAATAAAACTACCCACCACCACTGAGTAAGGAGAGAGGCCTAGGTTTGTGGATGGTAGAAAGCCAACTCATCAGAACCATGACGGATCCTAATGTGGGGTCGGCCGGGCAGGCTTTCTGCTTCCTATCCTTTAGGAAGAAGTGGGAACTGGGCACAGCCTCCATCAGTCTCTGGGCTGGGATATCTGTCTGTCTGCAGTTGTTAGCAGCTGCCCCTGCTTCATGCTTGGGGTCTGGCTACCCACCAGCCGGACTGCTGGTCTGGGAGGGACGGTCTGGTCAGCATTTCTTGGTCCTTACGTGGTCCAAGCAGGTGCACTCAGGTGTGCTGAGTGTTGTCCTGGCGGTGACTGCCCACCAGGCTGCCCTGGGGCGAGGTCTCCTGGCAGATCCATCCGTCCCCCTCAGAGCAGAGGTTCTGGCTCCGCCCTGTACTCACTGAGACCCCTGGGGCTACACCCCGAGCCTAGGTTTCCTCATGCACAAAATGGGGACTTGGACTGGCTCCTGTCTTGTGGAGTTGTCTTTCAGATCCTGGGTGAGATTGTGCTTCATGTTACTTGTCTGTAGAGCTGTAATGGATTTTGTTGTTGTTTTTTTTCTTGTGTGTGTGTGTTGTGTTGTGTTGTTTTTTTTTTTAATTAGGATGACGGCGGCTGGACGCCCATGATTTGGGCCACTGAGTATAAGCATGTGGAGCTCGTGAAGCTACTGCTGTCCAAGGGTTCCGACATCAACATCCGGGATAACGTGAGTCTCTGGCTGTCGCTGGTGCTGAGCGCCCCTCAGGGTAGCGGGTCCTGGAGGAGGACAGAGGGACCAGGGTGTACAGAGCTGGCGGCTGAATGTTCTTGTTCTTGGAAGCCTGACTGTGGCTGTGCCCTTTTTTCCCAGGTTTTCAGTGGCCCCTGGACCCACTGTGGTTTCCTGGGATTGTTTTGTGTGTTGGCCAATTGCTGGGTGTGGATTGAGGGGCAGAGATTCCTGAGACCAGCCCTGTGGATAGTACCTGCCTTTTTAGAGGCGATCCCGGACTGTGACTGCGTCACTGACTCCCGTGTCTATGATCAGGACCACGGAGCCCAGGGCACACCCCACACCTGGGCCGGCAGCATGGGAGCACTAACTCGTTCTGCACTGCTGTCTAGGAAGGAGAGAAAGGGAGCCACCGTGTGCTCAGGTCATGAGAGCTAAGGTGCTTGTGTGATGGCTAGTTTTATGGGACATACTTGTTTTCAGAAAACAGGGTTCTGGGGCCAAGGTCAGAAAACTCGCCAGTCCTTTTGGGAGTAATCCTCCAGCCCGTGTATCAGACAGCAGGTGATTCTAGTTAATTTATATATTTTAATATTTTTTTAAAGATTTATTTATTTGAGAGAGAGAGACCGAGATAGTGACAGGGATCACAAGCGAGCGGGGACACAGAGGGAGAAGCAGCCTTCCTGCTGAGCAGGGAGCCCGATGCGGGGCTCCATCTCAGGACCCTGGGATCATGACCTGAGCCGAAGGCAGACGCTTAACTGACTAAACCACCCAGGCGCCTCTCTAGTTAATTTAAAAGGGCATTTCTGGAAAGTTCTTTGGGTACCCGCTCGGGAACAATCCAGAGGGACAGGGGTCCCAGGGAGGACAGACACAGTGCCCTGCAGAGTTGTGTCGGCTGTTACAGAGAGTCACCAAAAGCCATAAATGGAAAATGTAGCACAAACTCATTAAATTGATAATGAAATAAGAAAGCAGTTAACAGTAAGACATGATTTCTCCAAACAAGCACACCATTCAGTAGGGTGCGTGTCAGCGTGGAGCCCGAGTGCCCAAGGTAGGGAGCCAGGTGGTGTCTTTTGGTTCTGAGCCCTGAGCGGGACAGGGCTCTCCAGATCCCCGCTTAAAGAAGGGATGGGAGCAGTGAGCACCACCTGGTCACTCATCGTGGCTGCTCGGCATTGGGACCCTTCCCCACGTCTGTGAGCAGGTCCTGCCCTGCCCTGAAACCAGGAACCTCAGCACAGAGGCCCCCATCTGGGCCTGCAGCACGTGGCTCAGCTGTGGGGTGTTTCCGTGAATGTCCTCAGAGCTGGGGTCAGTACAGTGGCGCTGCCTGCAGGGCCCCGGGGGCTGGGAGGTGCAGGGCAGTTTGGATGAGGGTAGCGGGAAGGGGTGTGATGAGGTCCAGCGTGGCTGCAGCAGAGGGCAGTCAGAATCTGCCCTGTGGACGCTTTGTGGCACATCGTGAGCAGCCCCCTTCAAGCATGGGGTGCTGGGAGCAGCTGCAGCTGTGTGTCCTCGCTGGGCAGGGTATCAAGAGCGTGTGGGTGCAAGGCAGCAGACGGCCTCACAGGGTCCAGTAGGTGTCGGCGCCGCTCCTGGTGGTGGTCCTCGGGGAGCAGGAGGATGGACTAAACCGCGTGTTTGTTGTTCATGTGACAAAGCAGCGCTGTTATTTCATCCTAGCAGTTTTATTGATGTGTAAATGGTGCACCATTTAAGGTGTCCAGTTGGATGAGAGTTAACCCCAGAAACCGTCCCTGCAGTCAGGACTGTGCACGACGCTCCCAGAAGTTTCCTCCTGCCGCTTCGTAGCCAGCCTCCGTCTGCTCCGCTTTCTGTCACCGAGTTTGTGAGTTCGGCTTTCCGTAGGCGGACCCGCAGTGTGACCGTTGCTCGGGCAACATCAGCCTGGGGGTCAGCGTTGCGTTGTGCGGACAGGTTAGCTCAGGTGTCCTTCACCTGGTTGCGGACATGGGGGTTTTCTGGGTTCTGGCTGTCACACATAGAGCTGCTGTGGACATGCACGCACGTGTCTGCTATCATTTCTGTCCCATAAAACCTGGGTCACCTGTTGAAGGAGCTGCCCAGCTTCCAGAGTGACTGTGCCTGAGAGGCTGTCCTCCCCAGCACTTACAGTTAGTCTGTGTCCTCGGGGGGGGGGGGGGGGGCGCGGCGGTCCTTTCAGATCTTCTGCTCATTTTTTATTGGATCATGTATTTTCTTATTCTTCAGTTTTAAGAGTTGCTGTGTATTCTGCATACAAGTGCTCTATATCAGATGTTCTCCAAGCCCTAACAACTGTTTTTGAGAGGCAGATGCTTTTTAATTTTGGTAGAGCTTAGTTTATCAATTATTTTCTATTTATGGATCATATGTTTGGTGTTCTCTTTAAGAAATCATCGCCTGACCCAGGATCCCAAAACCTTTCTTCCGTGTTTTCTTACAGTAGTTTGTTTTGCATTAGGATGTCCAGCTGTCCCAGCACCATCTCCCTTCTCCATGGACTTGGCTTTGCCCCTGTGTCCACATGTGTGTGGCTCCGTCCCTGGGCTCTGTCTTCCGTGCCGTTGGCCTGCACGTGTCTGTCCTTACGCCAGTGCCATGCTTTCCCAATTAAGAGAAGATGCTGTGTTACGTACACAGAGGGCTGTCCCGTTTCTCCCGGACCTCGTGCTATTGCTCTCAGATACTGTACCAGCCCCGCAGTAGGTTGTTACTTCGTTTCAACAGTCGGTGGTCTTTTGGGAACACTGTAGTGACGAAAGTCTCAGGGATCAGTGCCTGCTGAAGCCACTTCCTTTCCTGCCTAGGTCCTTCGTTCCAGGGTCGTTTCTCCTCTACACGTCTGACTTCGTTTATCGTGTCCTGGGGTGCCGGTCTGCCCGTGACAAGTGCTTGCAGCTTTTCCTGCCTGCAGACTCTGTATCTTGGCTTCACTTTGGGAGACGTTTTGCTGGGTGTGCACTTTGGTCGATAGCTTCTTTCAGTACTTTGTGCACACAGCCTCTCTGCGTCCTCACCGAGGAGTTTCCCGTGGGGAATTCTCGCTGGCACCTTGTGCTTATTTCCAGATAGAGTGCATCTGCGTTCTTTTGGCTGCTTTTAGGATTTTCTCTTTATCACTAGATTTTAGCAGTTGATTATGATGCGCCTTGTGTTACTTGTGTGTGTTTGCAAGCCTGAGGTCAGGAAGGTTTATGAAGCTGTGTCAGCGAGGTCCTCATCCGTTCCAGAGCCTTCCTGCCTGCCCCCTGCTTTGCAGGGGTCCCTGTTCTGTAATTATCACGTGGCTTGAAGTTGTTCCCAGCTCACTGATGCTCTTTTCATTTTCCTCAATTATTTTTTCACTGTGGATCACAGTTTGTCTGGTTTTAAAGCTGTTTTGCTGGTTTTATTGAAATTTTGCTGTTTTCAAGCTCAGTAATCTTTTCTTTACCACCTATTATGCTGCTAATCTCATCCAGTGTGTTTCTGTTAGACATTGTACTTGTCAGCTCTAAAAGTTTTCTGTGTAACCTTAGGTTGCGTGCCAGACATTGTGCATTTTACCTTGCTGTGAATTTCTGTATTCCTGGAAAGGTCTTGAGCCTTGTTCTGGGTGCAGCAAAGTTACTCGGAAATAGTCTGCTTTGGGTGTTGCTTCCCAGGTTTGTTACGTGGGTTCCAGCAGGCCTCAGCCCAGTGCTGGTCGTCTCTTGTGTGGGCACTAGCACTGAGACTTCTGTGCCTCGGCTTTGGGGTGTGTCCTCCTGGAGGTCCAAGGTGGGAATGTCCAGATCTCCAGCGGCCTCTTTCCCAGCTCCACATTCTGCTGCCTCGGCCACCGGCTCTCAGTTCCTGTCTTGGGGCTTCTCCTGGTGCCCTCCCTGCTCCGAGGCCTGGATCTCAGGACCGTGAGCAGGTGGGCCCAGGCCCCCTTGTTTGTTTCTGCTCTCAGGCCTACAGTACTCCATTGCCTGATGTCCAGTGTCCTGAAATGAAAACCATTATTTCACACGTTTTGACTGTTTGGTTCTTTCAGGCAGGGAGGTAAATCCAGATGGTCCCTCTGGCCCGGTCTCTGCCGGAACCAAAGTGCCGTCTGTCACTTCAGATGTGTGGGTCAGGCCTCTCGTAATAGAGCAGGCAGACCTCAGCTGGTCTGGGACTGCACGCACGTTCCTGTGCTAAGAGAAGCCTGGGTGGACGGGGACAGTCTCAGCCTGTAATTCCGGTTATAAAATCATAATCCTTCTGGTGAAGGAATGACAAAAGAGGCCCCTAAGGAAACCACATTTTGTCCTGGAGCTTGCAAATGTCTGGACAATGGAAAGATGAGAGGGGTAGAAGGCGTCTCGGAACAACGTCCAGGAAAGGAAGCCCCAGGCAAATCCAGGCTTTTCAGAAAACACTAAGGCTGCCAGAGGAGTCTGCGGTGAAGCCTGTGCTTGGGGCTAGCTGCTGTTTGCTAACAGAGAGGACCACACAGTTTGACTTTTCTCTTTCCTCTAGTTCATTGAGCTGGAAGCATCGGATGCTCTCAGAGTGGGGGACTGGGAGGCAGATTATCTGCGAGCACTGGAGCGTTACAGGGGGTTCCCTGGTGGGAGGGGGGCAGGAACGAGGCAGGCAGAGTCATGTAGCTGGCACATCAGTCCCACGGGGGCTGACATGGGGTGGAGTGGGGGCATGCACAGTGAGGGGCTCTGCCTCAGTCCTGCTAAGGCCCCTGTGGTGGTGCCGAGTGGACAGCCAGGCTTGACTTTGGCTCCTGTGAGATACTGGGCGTTCTTGAGGGGTGGGGCCCCCTGAGTGGTGCACCCACTCTGCCAGGAGGGCAGTCAGTGTTTAAGCTGCCTCTGAGGGGTTAAGCCCTGAGACCAAGTCAGGAAAAGAAAAGGACTGAAACATTCACTGCCTTGTATTCTAGAGGAAGACGGGAACAAACTAGAGGTTCGGTAGAGGAAGGGCTGAGTAGGTCACGACCGTGAGCTCGGCCTGCACAGTGGTCCACCTGCAGTGGGCACAGGGCAGTCAGCCCGTGGGGGTCAGAGTGGCCTTCTCGTTTGTCCCCAGTGCGGTAGGTTGGCTGTTCCGTCACCGTTCTAATTTAGGCTGTTTCCCACCTGGCAAGGCTGCCCGTTGCCCTGTGTATGTGTGTATTCCTCATCTTTAACACAAGTTTTAAGTTTTATACGTTTTGTGCATTTGTTTTCAGAATTACAGTGTAGCAAGCTAATAAACTGATTAAGTCACGTATAGCTTATTTACAGCACAGTGGTTTTTTCTGATCTTTGATTTAAAGGTTTTGTTTTACAGAGGTTTTATGAAGTAAAATTTTAATGCAGTCAAGTTTGCTTACCTTTTATCTTTGTCAAATTTTACACGGTTTGTCCTGTCCTGCAATTGTACCTCTGTTCCAAAGTGAATATGATTTTAAAAAGTAGATAAAGCAGAGTACTCCCGAGTGTTATGTTACTAATGTGTTGTGTTTAGATTGGTCTAATTCCAGACGGTTTTTTATTCTATTTTTAAAATATTCAGTACTGAAATTACATTACTTTTATAATGAAAACAAAACAAGAAAGGAAGCACCCCCAGCACTCAGCCAGGTCTCTGCTCTCCTTTTGGTGCGCTGCGCCGTCTGTCCGCGCAGGAGGAGAACATCTGCCTGCACTGGGCTGCGTTCTCGGGCTGTGTGGACATAGCCGAGATCCTCCTGGCTGCCAGGTGTGACCTCCATGCCGTGAACGTCCACGGAGACTCGCCTCTGCACATTGCTGCCAGGGAGGACCGCTACGCCTGTGTCCTGTGAGTGGTCCCACTGCACACCGTCCCTGCAAGGCTCCCGGGTGCCCCAGGCCCCCCAAGGGAGGCTCCTTCCCCAAGCAGGTGGAGGTGTGAGCCTCCCATTCCACCTGTGAGGTCAGCGTGGCTATTTCTGGTTCAGGGAGGATCATTGTGAAAACTCCGCAGATACTTGGATGAGTCTCACCCAGCACCTCCCATCAAGGGGGAGGGGGCAGGCCCTGCTCCGGAGGGATGAAGATGTCAGTGCTCACCACTTGCCACTCAGAGCCCGTCCCTATGTCACAGACATGTGGGTGGGGTGCAGTTGGGGTCCTGGGGAGCTGTCCTCGCTGTGCTCTCAGTGGAAGCTCAGGTCCCAGTCCTGCCCGGCTGCACAACCTCAGGTCCCCCCCCTCACCTGGAAATGAGGGTGCGCCCTGCTGTGGGACACAGGCCCGTTCAGACCGGGACCTTGGCGGCAGCTCAGCTGAGCGGGTTGTGGTGTGAGGCTGTGGAGGGGCGGTTCGCAGGACCGCTGTGCTGCCACTCTGTCCGGTTCTGACTCGCCTGCAGGCGCTGACCGTGTATACAGCGTGGTTTACCCGCCTCATGCTGGCCCTGTTCATCTTTGAGCATGCCTTTGAGTGGAAAGCCAAAAACCCTCAAATACCATCCCTAGTTCTTTACACACGCTTCCCGACAAGAAAACTGGGGTGACTTTGGACCGTAAATGTGGGAAAGGAGTAATGTAGTGTATTCCTGGTGAGTCAGGGCAGATCTTTCTAGAAGCACTTGGTCAGCAGGGTTAATATCAAAATGAATGATGTGTTCCCTTTATTTTTGCCTTCTGAAGTCATACATCTGTCTTTTAAATTAAGGTCTGAATGTTTTGTTGGCTTACATTTTTCCTTTTAGCCTCTTTCTTTCTCGGGATTCAGATGTCACCTTGAAAAACAAGGAGGGAGAGACACCCCTGCAGTGTGCAAGCCTCAACTCCCAGGTGTGGGATGCGCTGCAGATGAGCCGGGCGCTGCGAGACGCAGCCCCTGACAGGCCTGTCCCGATGGAGAAGACGGTGAGCAGGTGAGAAGACCGTTCTGAGGCAGAGGGTGACAGAGGGGGTTGAAGAGTTTGAAACAAAACTTCTGTCCAAGCTGAGGCATCCCCTGGCCTGAGTCCAAAGTGCCTGGCCCAGGGCTTGGCGGCTGCCCCGCTGGGGTGTCATTTGTCACGGCGAAAGGTAATGTCCCTCCTTTCCCGTGGCAGAGACATTGCTCGAGGCTATGAGCGAATCCCCATCCCGTGTGTCAACGCTGTGGACAGCGAGCCGTGCCCGAGCAACTACAAGTATGTTTCTCAGAACTGCGTGACGTCTCCCATGAACATTGACAGAAACATCACCCATTTGCAGGTCAGTGATGGCAGGGTGCGGTGGGCCTCTGGGGCCTGGGTCCACAGCGTTTCCCTCATGGTGATCGCCTTCCACTAACGAGTTGAAAGGCAGATAAAGATCCTTCCTGAAAGTGGATCCTGCATCCCGTGCTGGGTCCCCAGCCCCAGAGCAGTGCCTAGCGTCCCCCGGTGAGTGGTGGTTTGGGGGCCACGCAAGTGAGAGGAGCCTGTGCTTTGCCTTGAGCGTCCTAGCCTCTGAGCTGCTCTTGCGTTGAAGTTGGACATGTGCCCTCAGGGCAGGGCTGTGGCCCTGGGCCTTGCTCTTCCCATGGAGCGGCTGGCCTCAAGTGCCGGCCTTGGGATTTCTTTCACCAACCCTGCCCCTCGGCCCCACGTCGCTGACCGCCCCTGCCTCCTCCCCTTTCTTTGGGCTCTTGGTCCAGAGCCCCTCGTGCAATCTCTCTGTGTCTTAGTGGCTGGGTGTCCTCTCCCGCCCACATGCCCTCTTCCTCAGGGGCTGCTTGCCCCTTGGTGTCCTGGAGAATGCAGACGTCTGAACCGGTCACCTCTCTTCCACGCGGGCCTGGCTTTCTGAGAGCACGTGTCAGAGTCGTGAGGCGCGGCTGAGAACGGCCCCCCCACCTGACGAGCTGTCTCCCTCTAGTACTGCGTGTGCATCGATGACTGTTCTTCCAGCAACTGCATGTGTGGCCAGCTCAGTATGCGCTGCTGGTACGACAAGGTGAGCCTGCGGCCAGGGCCTGCTGGGGCGGTGAGCCAGCCTTGGGAAGGAGGGCTGCAGGTGAGCGGGTGTGGAAATGCAGACCGGTCGGAGCCAGCCTCTCTGGCCGCCTGGGCGTGGCTGTCTGTGAGCCCCAGCCTGGGACAGCTGGGGAGACAAGGAGGTGGCTCTGGAAGCCGGTGTCCAAGAGAAGAAGCTTAAATGCCCTTGGTATTGGGAGTTCAGAGGTTGTCAGTGGGGGCAGGAGCCAGGGTGTTCTGGGGTGGGGACAAGACCACAGCAGACGGTTGTCTCCAGAGTCACCGTGGGAGGGAGCAGAGGGGCATGGCACGGGGGGTGTTTGTGGCTGTCGAGCCAGAGGCTGCGGCCCTCACTCTAGTGCTGTGTGCTCTCTGTGAAGCACTGCTATGCTGAAGGTCGGGGGGAGCGAGCATTTTGAGGGAAGTTCTCACTGTTCAGAGCAGCCTCTGAAGCCACGGGGACTTCAGACTCGGCCGCGAGGCCCTGGTTTGTCGCCCAGCGGCTTTGCCGTGTCTGGGTGTAGGACGGGCAAGCAGGTGGCCGGGTCGCTGCCAGAGTTGTGGGCCTGCAGGCTGCAAGGCTGAGAGTGCAGCGTGGCGGTGAGCGTGGGCAGTGGTCCGGAGGGCACTGACCCCTTGAAGGAAGTGGAGAGGCCTGTGGGCCGGTGGCCTTGGCGAGGCTGGGCGAGTTGCAGGGAGGAGGAGGGAGGGCGACCAGGGCATACGGATCCGTAAACCTGTGTATGCTCCTGGTTCGATGCTTCCTGCCCAGAGCACGAATGGGTAACGGGACACTGGTGCCCCCAGCGTGAAGTTTGACCGGAAACCATCGTTTTTATACCCGTTTTAGTTAGTGAAACTGTGTTGGTGTCAGTTTATTTAGCGTGAATGGTGAGCCATGCTCGGTCCTGACTGCACGTCTGTCCCCAGGACGGCCGGCTGCTGCCGGAGTTCAACATGGCGGAGCCGCCCTTGATCTTCGAGTGCAACCACGCCTGTTCCTGCTGGAGAAGCTGCCGGAACCGCGTCGTGCAGAACGGCCTCAGGTGAGCACGGGCTGCCAGCCCCTGCCTGAGGGTAGCGTTCTACGCCCTTCAGTGCAGGGTGATGCCAGGGGTCTCTGCTTTCAAAGTTTGCAAATGATCTCGGGTTTGTTGGGAAGTTCGCTGTATTTGCATGTATTTCATATGGACAAGGGTGGGGTGTGTTGCAGTAGAGACGTTCTCTTGTTTGAGCCCCTTGTCCCCTGGTGGTGTTACAAGCTCGTGTAAATAACACAAGTCCTGCTTCTGAGCAGCTGGGATGTCGGTGAGGCCAAGGGGCTGGGCTGTCCATGGCCCAGGGAGGCAAAGGCCAGGACACGGGCTCTTCACGAGCATTGCCTCTGCCTTCGAGTTAACACGTGCACGGCAACTGTTTTAATACTCAAACCATTTCTGAAATATTCTGTGTTCTCTGAGTGTCTCTGCAATAACAGTATGAATGTGCTCTGGTATAAAATGCTTCAGACCGTGTAGACGCCTTGTTCTTAAGTCAGTTGGGGTGCTTGGTCCGGTGAGGTCTGGCCAGCACCCCTTTCACTGGCTGGGCTCAGACCCCTTCCTCTAGCGTCCCCTGGCCATGAGCTTTTCCTCTTGTGCACGTGCTTGAGAATTAGAAGACCTCTTTTGGCCGTCTGAGTTGTGGGTTGAAATTCACACACAACATCAGTCTAGTTTCACGGTATCGAAGGGTTTCTCAGTATCAGCGGTCAGAGAGTGCTTCTGACCAGCCCACATGTCCCTGTCTCCCTGTTGGCAGGACATTCTCTGGGGGGAGGACAGACCTGTCCGTCTCCCCCAGGGCCTCTGGACACACAAAGGGGCAGGTGGGTCCCCATGGCTCTGAGCTGGGGAGAGCTCCCCAGCCTCTCTGAGGGGCCAGCAGAGTGTCAGCCCCTTCTGCTCTTCATTGCCCCCCAGGGGCTCGGCCAGACCTGTCCCCGTGTTACAGATGAAGACACGGGCAGTCGGACCGAATTCCAAGGCAATCTCCCGCTCCCTGGGGATGGGCCGTGGGCTTCATTGCACGGGAAGCGCGTTGCGATAGGAAGGCAGGATCTTGCGCTGTGTTTGCTGCCATGGCTGGCGGCGTAATCCGGACGAGAGCTGAGCGTCGGGGAACTTGGCCTGTTTTCCAGGGCAAGGCTGCAGCTCTACCGGACACAGAACATGGGCTGGGGTGTGCGGTCCCTGCAGGATATCCCCCTGGGCACCTTCGTCTGCGAGTAAGTGAGTGCGTGCCGGGGTCACCCCAGGGCTGCTGGCTACCCCTGCCATTTTGGGGACAGCACAGTAGTGTGGGGTGAGGGGCTGCCAGGGCCCTGTCTGTGCCTGGGACTCGTGGGTGCCCCTGAAAACCAAGCTCATGTTGTCTCCACCCATCCACCCGCTTCCCTGGCTTTCCACCTGCACTTAGCCCCTCACCAGGTCGTGGCTCCTTTAAGATGGTACCGTTCAGTGGTTTTCAGGGAGTGTCACTCTGGATCCCTGGTCAGAGAAGGGGTTTCTGTGTCGTCATCTTCTGGGACCTGAAGTTAAATCCCAGCTCAGTC